GCCGTGACCCGATGCCGACTCAAAGAGGGAAAGACTGTTTTTGCATTAAAGGTGCGTTGCTTTGATTAGTCAAATTTTGCTTACCTGCGCCCGGCAATAGAGGCTAACATCCTGTCCTAGATCATTACTACGGACCCCAACCCTGATGTCAAGAAACAAATTGTTCGTGAGCTGAACTTCAACAAAGATTGCGCTTCGCACCACATCTGTCGTTACTATGGTGCTTTCATGGACAAGTCCACTGGCACCATCTCTATCGCCATGGAGTTCTGTGAAGGTGGAAGTCTGGACAGCATCTACAAAGAGGTCAAAAAGCTTGGAGGTCGCACTGGAGAGAAGGTCCTCGGCAAAGTCGCAGAAGGTGTCTTGAATGGGTTAACCTATCTCCACAGCCGAAAGATCATTCATCGAGGTATGAACCATTATCCTCCTGTATACATTGACCATGAGTGGCTAATGTTTTCTAGATATCAAACCATCGAACATTCTCTTGTGTCGTGATGGCAAAGTCAAACTCTGCGACTTTGGTGTCAGCGGTGAATTCGGCACCAAGGGCGACGCCAATACCTTCATTGGCACTTCCTACTATATGGCCCCAGAGCGCATTACTGGCCAATCATACACCATTACATCCGACGTCTGGTCTCTCGGTGTGACTTTGCTGGAAGTTGCGCAGCATCGATTCCCCTTCCCTGCGGATGGGACTGAGATGCAACCCCGTGCAGGGCTAATAGATCTCCTAACGTATATCGTCCGCCAGCCGATTCCCACGTTGAAGGATGAGCCACAAAACGGCATTCGCTGGTCGGACAACTTCAAATACTTCATCGAATGCTGGTATGTGCTTTGTCCCTGTAATTCCTACTTTTCCTATACTAACTAGATCACCAGCTTGGAAAAAGAACCTCCTCGACGTGCGACGCCCTGGCGGATGCTGGAACATCCATGGGTGCAGGATATGAGAAACAAGAAGGTCAACATGACGAACTTTATAAGGCAGGTGTGGGATTGGAAAGAGTAAACAAGTCCCCAAGGACCCTTTTTGAGGGTGCTTTACTGCTTTGCTGCATTTCTTTTGAGTAGTGGCTGGACCCCAAGGATTGACCTGGCTGTCAACAACTCAAACCCATTTCTCACGACTCTACTTCGTATCTATCTGCGTTTTGTGCTTTCCGCTGGCTCCCCCGGGCCGGAACTCGCGGGACTCAACATTACTCTCATACCCCCTTATCATCTGCAAATGCTGTTTTTTTCTCCCTTTTTCATCGACACGAACATCATCGGCTACGCTTCACCTCCTACGATCCTTATGGCCTGACATTGTCCATGCATTGCATACCCTTCGATCATTTTCGTCCTGTCCGTAGTTCTCACTGTTTTCCTCAACCCCCTACGATGGACTGGTCTCTCTCCTTTTGCTTTGGTTGTTCTCTGTCACATTTCGAGCCTGGACATATCCTCCATCTTCGTATATCGCGGTTTCGTTTTAAGTGTACAGCTCGCTTTCTTAGTCTGCTTTAGGGTTATATTTTGGGTCTATTTCTCGCTTTGCACTGGATGCGGGAGTGTTGCAATGCTTTGGAAACCTCCTTTGGGACATACTTAGGCACTTAATACCATTGCATCTTGTCTTTGATTTTGGTTTATATATTTACGAGTACAAGAATATAGGGATGAACTTGCGCCATTCAAACTGTTCATATTTTAGTAGAAGATTTGTATTAATTCTGGAGACTTCGCAAATTAATTTTTTTTAGCGAACAGTCCTGACGCTTCTAAGAAAAATGTCTCGTTGTTATCATAAAAGCTACAGCTACATACAGTCAATGTCTCAATACGCATGCTCATCAACCACAGAAGCAACTGTAAGGAATTCCAACTTTCAGCTACTCGCAATCCCATGTCGTTCCCCTCTCCACTACTTCTTGTTGACCGGATCAGCGCCAAGAACCCAGCCAATCCCACTAACCAAGCCCCCAGTCATCATATTGCTAACCATATCCCTCTTCCTAACACGGCCCTCACTATCTGGCGATAGCGGCCGATCATCATCGGGAGGAGCAACTGACGCTGAAGCATCAGCAGCGCCCCTCAAAGGGAAAGCATTCTTGTGCAGCGCCAAAGCCGCGCCACGAGCAACCTCAAATAGACCCATGGGCGCCTCGTGGCGATGAGAGTTCGGCATTGCAGCGCGTGCACGGCGCGCCGCACGCTGTTGCTCCGTGTCAAATGCGTCGCGCTCTGAGTCTGAGGGTCCAAACCCGCCCGGGACGGAGGTCAGTGTGTCCCCTTTTGTGTCCCAGAGGTCTTCTTCTTGCTGCTCTTGCGTGCGCAGCGAGGTCAGTTCTTCGTCGCAGCGTCGCCATGCGCCGAGGATTTCTGGCAGTGGGTCTGGGGATGGGACGAGAACGAGGGCAAGGGAGAGGAGTTCCATTCGCTGGGAGAGGTGCGAGATTTGGGATTGGAGGGTTGGTGGTGGGTTGGTTGGCGTTGTGGCGCGGTAGCGGCCTGCGTTGTAGACGGCACGCCAGGTAATATCATCGGGGACGGAGGTGGTGTTTAGCAGGGGCGAGGAAGTTGGGAGGAGGGACGGGGGTGTTAGTCGGGTTAGGATGTAGGAGTAGGCTGTGCCGAAGTCGTTGGAGGATAGAGCAGAGGCAATTGCTAGGGAGGTGATGCGGCGTTCTGCGGTGAGGAGAGTGTGCTCCTTTGAGGGTTTATGGTAAGCTGGCTCGTCTTCGGCCTCGTGTGAGGCCGCTTGCGTGGGAACGCCTGCGGCTACTAGGTTTCGTCCGATGGAAAGAAGATCATCGAGTTTGGTGTAGCTCTTTGCATTCTGCTCAAGTACTTTCTCGATCAAAAGGATGGGATCGTGATGGACGCGAATGCTCACAGGCTGGAATGGGACACCGTGTTGCAGGGTCAGCGAATAGTATGAGAGTGCGTGTGTTGCGGCGATGAGGGCTTGGATCTGTTTGAATACAACAGACTCCGGGAAGTATGATTTGAATGATTGTAAGCTAAATTACTGTCAGTACCTCCCTATATATCCTCTTTCACTTGTGCACTTACATATCATAAGCTCTCTTCATTCCACCCCGGGTTCGATTTCCGTTGGTTGCATTATCATACGCTGCGAATATGGCCTCCTGGACCGCAGCTTCCACTTGGGCAGGATTTAGTGGCGCTGGTTTAGAGTTAATGTATATATTGATAGCCAATTGATACTCTAAAAACAAAATCAGTATTGACAACGAAGAGTGAACTTGAGTCGCATTACCTTTAGCTGCCAGCAGCGCCTTCAAGATCTCTGTTTCAACCGTGTCGCGCGGGACCCGCCAGAAAAGTCCATGGTATGGTGAAGGCTCATCCCAGGCGTTGTCTGACTGTTCTGCCTGCCAATCTCGAAGCCAAAGCAATCGTTGTCGTACCATAGACCAGTCTTGGTTTACATTCGATTGTTTCACGGTAGAATCCACCACGCTTTTGAGTTCAGCCAATTGCATTTCCTCGGTGCTGTGAAGGCACATATTTGCCGCAACCCGACAGGGAACCAGATGACCAAGTTCGGTCAGTATACGAAGGGAGAGGAGTAATGCGCTAAGAAACGAAATCGATGGGGGTGATGGTTTTGTAAGAGGGTTCATCGGTCTCAAAAGGGAGTTCTGCAATAGAGATGCGCGGGATGTCGAGGAGATTGACTCGGTATCATAGTGCACAGATGGCAGTTCTGAATCAGAAGTGAGGTACGAGCTTTCTTCAAGATCAAGAAGCTTTGCAACCCTCGTCAGGACCTGGAACGAACCCTTCAATACAGCCATCGATGAGTCTGCATGGGCATACACCACAGCAAGACCGGACTGGCCATATCGAACTCGTAAATCTCTCGCTTGCTCTTCGGACAATTGTGTGCCAGCATCGTCATAACCTCCCAAGTCCACATCTGATGGTCCATCCCAGTGTATGTAGGCACTCACAACGCTGTCGCGGTCGGCAAGACTCCGCGACAGTAGCCATTCGTTCACGTATTCCCATCCAGCCAACTCAGTTGCTTGGGGTTTCTCGGAACCTTGAATGAAAGAAACCGAATTCTGTTGCGCTGCTTCGTTAAGTCTTCGCCGTTTTGACCGATTACCACCATAGAGCCAAGGGCCAATCAGACCCCTCAAGTTGTTGACCAAGTCCATGTTGCTTTCTTCAGAGCTCATCAAAGACAAGAGAATGTTGACGGCGGTTTGATCATCCATAGACTCTAGGATCTCAAGAGATATAGTTTCGTCACGATGGGCGTAGAACTCGTAGTTCAGTCGAAGCAATGGTAATAGGCTCGATATCAGCCATGTTCGAATGACTGGGGAATGCTCGTAGAACGGGAGGATAAGTTCGAGAACAAGAGGCTGCAGTGCTGTTTCCGAGTCAATCAGATGTGCCCGGTGAATAAGAAATTTAGTCAAAGAATCTGCTGAAGCTATCTCGTCTTCCTCGTCAGGACGTTGCAGTGGCCGTAAATGAAGCTTCCGCACGCGCTTTCTTGCGACCGATTCGGACAAGTCCTGGACGGCAGATGTATTGATCTGTCGATCAGATGTGTGATTGGAGCTATTTACTAGCTCTTGTAGCACCGAGGTGTACTGAGAGGGCTCTATGCTCTCTGGGAGAAAGGTCAAGATGATGCGCAAGAGGCGTTCCAACGGAAAACAATGGGGAAACCTGGCCTGTAGAATAGGCAAATCCGCCACATTACCACCTGCGCAGAGTTGTGTAGCTAGTAGAATAGCATGCGCATCAGACAGCTCTTCGAGAGCCATGATCAAGCTAAAGAGGCGAAGCGGTCGAGTGAGGTGGCCTCATAGTTGATGATGGCCATGTTGCATACGGCGGGGCGCACAGACCAAGTCGGAAACGAAAGGGAAGAGTCGCATCCGCCGGCACTTCATCACTACTTGTTTCGCGGTCTCTGTGCCTACGGCTTATTCAATTACCTTCTTCTACACATCACAATGGCTTCCGGTTACGGTAACACCGGCGGTATGTGCTCATTTTCCCGATTTCTGGGGAACCTGCTCGGATCCGCGCCGGCGTGCCCTCGGGTCACAACCTGCGCAGGCAGTCCTCTCCCCCACGAATAAAACCGGCTAACACAGTATGGCTTTTTCTAGGTCCCGGCCGCTGCTACCCCTTCTGGCAAGAGGTTCTTGGTTGCTACGTGGTGAACTCGGGCGATGGGGCGACCGGCAAGAAGAAGTGTGTGCCCGCCCTGGACGATTACTACGAGTGCCTTCACCACCGGAAAGAGGTAAGGGCAATCCCCATTCGAACGAGATAACTACACACTTGAAATGATAGACCTGGGTCTAATGATGGGAAATCGGAACAACAGGCTCTCCGCACTATGAAGATGCAAGCTGCCTATCGCAAGGCTGAGGCCGCACACCCGCGAGAGAACGCCCCCAAGGCTGAGCAAATCCGGAGCTTGGGTCTACTTGGGAAGGAAGAGGAGGCAGCTACTGTGCTGAACCAACTGTGAATGGGAAGGATTTGCTTGTTCTTTTTCAATGCGTGTGATTCCGTGTTTCCGCCCCGGGACTTTTGCCCGGAGCCTGTGACTGTATAGAAACGCTCAACTGGTTGACTTTTAGGTTGTCAGTGCGAAATGATACTCCAATTCAACGACAAATAGTGCTTTATCCTTAATTTCGATGTGCTTAGTCCATAATGGATTTCGGAAATAGCAGATGCTGCTATGTAGGACGAGATATATCCGATCTCAGAAGTCTAATCGACGAGATAAGCTTGGATTTTGATTGGGCATAGGGAAAAAGGTCGAATTACCAGTCCCTCACGCCTAGCCGCTTATCCCGGGGTTCTTTGTATCGCTGGTTTGCTCTTTGAATACTTCAAGGACTTATGCTTTGAAGGTTGTCTTTACAACAAAGATCTAGACTTGTAGTCATGATTTTTGTGCTTGGCTCGAGAGAAAAAGTAACTAAGGAATAAAAAAAAAGATTGGGGAATATGAGGATCTATATACGGATATATATAGTTCGGCAGGTCGATCAATGTATTTGAATAGCAACACAATGGGATCGCATCGTACACATTTATATAAGTGTAGAAAAGTACCACTTATTGCAACAAGATCTAATCACCCATCTTTCAAATATTATAAAACTATCACCTACATCAATGTACATGCACTGCTGATCATTCATGATTCCTTGAGCTTTGAAGAGGCCATCTGGCATGTCTTGGCATTGCTCACTCCTTCCTTCAGAGCCTTGAACGAAATTTCAAATAACCCTTTACTTGAAATCTCCACGAAAGTCCTCACTATCATAACAATTTCCATACATTGAACTAGGTATTATTTGATCAATCTAAATGCTCTATGTCATCCAACGCGTTTCTGGAACTCACGTGATACTTTCAGCAGCAGAAAAAAAAATCGGCGCGCTGTGAGTGGAAGCCCACCGCCCGCGCTAAACCACAAACGGCCTAGGCGGAGTGACCCAAACATGGACCAGCGCGCCGGGCAGAAGCACCCCCAATGATATAAACCCGGCTGCGTGACCTCGACCCTCGCTCTTGTGTACTAAATCTAAATCCCCCCGCTGACTCAGCATCGCGGCTTGAGGTGTTGGGCGTTTGGTCTTTGTTTTTCCATATCGAGGTCCTTCCACCCTAATTGCGCGCTTTGTCGCGCGCAATCGCTCTTTTCTTTGTGGTGTTCTATTTTTTTTTCTCTTATTCAAATTGTGCCGCATAGTCGGGAGAAAAGTGAAGACCCGCGATGGCTTCCCGGTAAGCCCCTTCAGCCAATCACTACGCGTCTGTCACGTGAAACTAACCCGATTTAGACTCGACCGTCTCGTCACGTGAGTATTACGACCCGATGCGTGCAATCACGTGAAAACAACTGACTACTGACCAATGGCAATACAGGCTACTCGAGACGGGCAGTACTCAATTGATTCGTAATACTGCTGCTCAACAGCTTGCAGATGTGCAAAAACAGCATCCAGATGAACTGTTTAATCTACTCGGGCGCATCCTGCCTTACCTCAGATCCAAGTCCTGGGACACAAGGACAGCTTCTGCCAAAGCCATTGGACTGATCGTCTCCAACGCAGAGATTTATGATCCAAATGAGGACGATGGATTCCAGATCAAGTCTGCAGCAGACGAGGATGATGTGGAGATTAAGTCCGAGATCAAATCCGAAGAGCCAATCTTGGCTGATGATTTACTCAAACTTGACTCCTTGGACATCCCTTCCGTATTAAGATATGGTAAGCGGCTGCTTGGCAGTGCGGGTAAGGAGTATGAGTACTCCCTCGCGTCCATGGAACCAGCTTCACGCCTACGGCACCAAAAAAAGACTTTGACTTCGCGGCTGGGTCTTGAAGGTGAATACCTTGAAGAAGATTTAATCGAGGATATCGAATTGGCTCCTAAAGTGGTAAATCCCGCTCCAAAGCATGAACCGAATATTCCGCCAATCTCTCGTCACAATAGTCTGCATGAAGCTCCCTCCCGCCAGCCCTCATCACCTAGTGAAAGTGCGACGAAGGAGGACGGGGGGTTGAGTAAGCGACAGCTCAATCAGCTCAAACGGAAAAACAAACAGAATGCCAAGATGGGAGCTAACAAAGTCCGTGTCGTGGATCTGTCTTCCCGTCGACAGTCCGACATTGTCACAACTCCTGTGGCCACAACTCCCCATCCTGTCAAGGCAGAGAACGGAGAGGACCAGAATGGCGAGACAAAACCTGATTACTTTTCTTTCGAACGCACAGAAGAAGATGACGATTCTAAGCTTGTCTCTGAATACAAAGGAGCTGCCATCCCAGAGCGATCTCACATCCAGCCAGAGATTGTGGAGCAGGGTGCAGGATGGCCTCTGGAACACATGTGTGAATTCTTGAATATGGACATCTTTGACTCCAACTGGGAAGTCCGACATGGCGCTGCAATGGCCCTGCGTGAAGTCATTAGAGTCCAGGGTGTGGCAGCTGGCCGCCTGGATGGAAAGAGTCGCACAGAAAACGATGCACTCAACCGCCGATGGCTGGATGACCTATCATGTCGACTACTCTGCGTCCTGATGCTTGATCGATTCGGTGATTACATTTCAGACAATGTGGTTGCCCCAATCCGCGAAACCGTAGGCCAGACTCTCGGTGCTCTTCTCTCACACCTACACCCGAACTCAGTACGAGCGGTCTACCGATGCCTATACCGGATCATAATGCAGACCGACCTTGAGCTGGACCGCCCCGTATGGGAGGTCTGCCATGGTGGCATGATCGGGCTGCGGTACCTTGTTGCAGTTCGAAAGGACTTGCTTGTCAAGGATTCCAGCATGATGGATGGCGTCCTGGAAGCTGTCATGAAAGGCCTCGCTGATTATGATGATGACGTTCGGGCTGTTAGCGCCGCTACACTGGTTCCCATTGCAGAGGAGTTTGTGTGCTCTCGAACTAGCACTCTTGGCCCTCTGATGAACATCGTCTGGGACTGTCTCTCCAATCTGCAGGACGATCTGAGTGCCAGCACAGGTTCTGTGATGGACCTTTTGGCCAAGCTGTGCACATTTCCTCAAGTTCTGGATGCTATGAAGGCTAACGCTGCAGATGATCCGGAAGCGTCATTTGGCAAACTTGTCCCCCGCCTTTACCCATTCCTTCGCCATACCATCACCAGCGTTCGCTCGGCTGTCCTTCGAGCTCTCATGACATTCTTGAAGCTGGAGGGCGAGGGCACCACAGATTGGGTAGACGGCAAGGCATTGCGCTTGATCTTCCAAAATCTTCTCGTGGAGCGCAACGAGGGTGTTTTGAAACTATCTGGTCAAGTGTGGTCTGAGCTCCTCAATGTCATTGAGCTGCGCGGTTCATTCAAATCCGAAGAGGAGTTATCGGACTCTATCCACCCGCTTGTCGCTCTGACTCTGGGCGCTTTCGGTGTTCCACGGTACCCCATTCCCATGAATGCCTCCCTCTTTATCAAACCGTCTGGCCTACCATTCTCCATCGCTGCCCCAGCTCCTACTCCTTCCAAAGGCTCTCCTCCTGCTTCTATTCCGGGCGGGAGTGAGACCAAGGTGGGACGGAGACGCAAATCGGAGAAGAAAGAGAAAGAGCCACCCCCGCCCTCAGCTCACAACGTGGACGGACACATGCTCTCTGGTGATATTGACCTCGTTGGTGCAGATACCATGCTGAGATCCAAGATCTACGCTGCAAAGGCGTTGGGTCAGCTGATATCTTTCTGGGACAAGAATGATCTACCAAGCCTTTGGCCCACAATCATGGAAGGTCTTAGTGCTTCTGCTTCCACAACGCAGCTTGCCTCGGCCATGGTCATGGAAGAGTATGCTCGCCACTCCGGACCAGAGAGCAAATATCGCTCGTCTCTGTGTGACTGCCTTCAACCAATTCTCGAAGGCGAGCGGCCATCCTGGTATGCGGATATTGCATGCTACCTTCATGTAGCGCGCTCCCAGTGCCATTCATTGTTGAATACGTTCCGGGATCATGCGCATGTAGCACCTTCGCGGCTGCCAACCTTGGCTGTGGTCGTCCAGGGCGACTCAGAAGCCGGGCCTAATGCATTTTCTTTGGCGGATGCCGAGAAAATTGTTGGTCCTGACTTTGATCGATTGAAGAAAAACCTCACACCGGCCCAACGAATTACTGCTACCCAAGTCCTGAACGACACTCGTACTACTGCGCAATCTGCTGTGGAGGAGGCACGGCTGATGAGGGAACAGCGGGACATGCGTGTCTTAGCTGCCACTGCTGGTGCCCTGGTCGCGTTGCGGGATATCCCCAAGAAGCCTGGTCACATCATCAAGGGCATGATGGATAGTGTCAAGAAAGAAGAGAATCTAGAACTTCAGCAGCGCTCTGCAACGGCAGTGGCAGGCCTCATCGAACACTACACAGCCTCCACGAAGCGTGGACCAGTCGACAAAATTATTGGAAACTTGGTCAAATACTGCTGTGTGGACACTTCTGAGACACCCGAATTCCCACACAATGTGCAATTGGAGAAATCAATCTTGTCGCTACGCAAAGAAGAAGATCGACGTGACCACCCTGATGCGGCCAAATTCGAAAGAGAGGCAAGAGAGGCACGGATTATGCGTCGTGGTGCTAAGGATGCGTTGGAGCAGCTGGCAGTCAAGTTCGGCGCTGAGCTTTTGGAGAAGGTTCCGAATCTCGCAAAGTTGGTTGAACGACCACTGAGAGATGCTTTGGCAGGCGATGAGCTTCCCGAGGACATCACTAACCCAGAGAATGAACTTGGTCAAGAAATTGTGGATGGCCTATCTACACTACGGGCTCTGCTGCCCAAGTTCCATCCAGGTCTTCACGAATGGGTGATCCACCTTATGCCGATTATCGCTAAGGGTTTGCAGTGCCGACTTTCTGTCATTCGTTACGCTGCAGCCAAATGTTTTGCTACGATTTGTAGCGTCATCACCGTCAAGGGTATGACAATGCTGGTTGAAAAGGTCTTACCAATTATTAACAATGGGCTGGATGTCAATCACCGTCAAGGTGCGATCGAGTGCATCTATCATCTGATCCATGTTATGGAAGATGGAATTCTCCCCTATGTCATCTTCCTGGTGGTTCCTGTCCTTGGCCGAATGAGCGACTCCGACAACGATGTGCGCCTTCTAGCAACAACATCATTCGCCACCCTTGTCAAACTGGTTCCCCTGGAGGCGGGTATTCCCGACCCCCCTGGTTTCTCAGAAGAGTTACTCAAGGGCCGTGATCGAGAGAGGAAGTTCATGTCCCAGATGCTGGACGTGCGTAAGGTCGAAGCGTTCGAAATTCCAGTCGCGATCAAGGCTGAGCTCCGCCCTTACCAGCAGGATGGTGTCAACTGGCTTGCTTTCCTCAATCGTTACAATCTCCATGGTATTCTTTGCGACGACATGGGTCTTGGCAAGACCCTGCAGACTATTTGTATCGTGGCAAGTGACCACCATATGCGAGCGGAGGAGTTTGCCAAGAGTCAATCGACAGACTCTCGAAAGCTACCTTCTTTGATTGTCTGCCCGCCTTCTCTCTCTGGACATTGGCAGCAGGAAGTCAAGCAGTATGCTCCATTCCTCAGTTGCATCGCATATGTCGGCCCTCCCGCAGAACGGTCGAGACTTCAACCCCTGCTGGCCACCACAGATGTCATTGTGACTTCCTATGATGTCTGCCGCAATGACAACGATATTCTCTCCCCCATCAATTTCAACTACTGCGTGCTCGACGAGGGCCATCTTATTAAGAACCCTAAGGCCAAGATCACGTCTTCAGTTAAAAAGCTAGCCAGTAACCACCGTCTGATCTTGTCTGGTACTCCAATCCAGAACAACGTCCTCGAACTGTGGTCGCTGTTTGACTTCTTGATGCCTGGTTTCTTGGGAACAGAGAAGGTCTTTTTGGATCGGTTTGCCAAACCCATTGCAGCGAGCCGTTTCAGCAAATCCTCTTCCAAGGAACAGGAGGCAGGTGCTCTAGCAATCGAGGCACTGCACAAACAGGTCTTGCCATTCCTGCTCCGTCGTCTGAAGGAGGAGGTTTTGAATGACCTCCCTCCCAAAATTATTCAGAACTACTACTGTGATCCTAGTGAGCTGCAGAAGAAACTGTTTGAGGATTTCTCCAAGAAGGAACAGAAGGAGTTGGCAGACAAAGTGGGCAGCGCAGACCGAGGCGACAAAGAGCATATCTTCCAAGCGCTTCAATACATGCGACGCCTATGTAATTCTCCTGCCTTGGTTGTCAAGGAAGGCCACAAGCAGTACAACGAAGTGCAATCCTTCCTGACTGCCAAGCGTTCGAACATCAGAGATCTCGCCCACGCGCCGAAGCTAAATGCCCTGAAAGATTTGCTGGTGGATTGCGGCATTGGCCTTGACCACACAGCAGAGGGCGAACTGGATACAGGCGCAAGCTATGTCAGCCCCCACCGGGCTCTTGTGTTCTGTCAGATGAAGGAAATGCTAGACATTGTGCAGAACGATGTCCTTAAGAAACTCTTGCCTTCCGTTCAATACCTTCGCCTGGATGGAGGTGTGGAAGCAACCAAGCGCCAGGACATTGTTAACCGATTCAATACCGATCCCAGTTACGACGTCTTGCTCCTGACCACCAGTGTTGGTGGATTGGGTCTCAACCTTACGGGTGCAGACACTGTCATTTTCGTGGAGCACGACTGGAACCCGCAGAAAGATATTCAGGCTATGGATCGTGCCCATCGTATCGGTCAAAAGAAGGTTGTCAACGTGTACCGCCTGATCACGCGAGGTACCCTGGAGGAGAAGATCCTGAAGTAAGTCATTAATTATCATTCCACACGAACCCCACAGATGTACAGAGACTAACATATGAACTTCGCTACAGCTTGCAACGATTCAAGATCGACGTTGCCTCCACCGTGGTCAATCAACAGAATGCCGGGCTCGGAACAATGGACACAGACCAACTGCTTGACCTGTTTAATCTCGGCGAAACGGCAGACACAGCTGAGAAGCCCAGCGACACAGCTGGCAACGAAGTCGACATGGTCGATATCGACGGCGAGGTCAAGGAGAAGGGCAAGAAGGGCTGGCTAGACGATCTGGGCGAGCTCTGGGATGACCGCCAGTACCAGGAAGAATACAACCTGGATTCGTTCCTGGAAACCATGAAAAACTGATACATACTGCGCCACCCATCCCATATTCGACGTTTACTCCAGTCCAGGCTCGATGTCTACCTTGCTTGCATCTCAGATGCATATCTACCATTTTCCGTTCCCCTGCGTTTGATTCACATTTTTACACACCCCTTCAACCCAACTCTTCCCGAAAACTCCCCCATATCCTCACAACCCCCAAATGATTGTCATGCTTAATGTCACTGTACCATTCTCCGTCCTATACCATGGAGGCTCTTGTTTGCACGGCAGACCGGAGCATAATCGCCTATTAGTATTTGTTCTGCCGCTGGGAAGGCCCTTTGGTTTCTGCTCGTTCTCTTTTTTTATTCTTCTTCGAACCATTCATGTATTGCTAGCTTTCTTGATCTCTCCACACGATGGATGGAGATTCTAATTTCTGTATGTTGTACATAGCAAATCCTTTGATTCATTTTTAACCTTGAGATTGTTTTTTTCATATAAACTATAGATCACGTAAACTAGTGGGTTGTTCACTCTACATTGTTGGGGACGTCGATAGTCAATGATGCACAGAACTGACTATACTTGATTGTGCTCATAGATTTTCTCACAGATTGATTTGAAAATTTTCATTGACAATACATACACAGAAACAAAAACCCCGTGGCACCTTTCCAATGATAATAGCCCGAAATCATAGCCGCAAACGCCATATTTCCCAGAAAAGCGGACTTCCCGAGGAACGGGCAAAAAAAAAGGAAGAAAAATAACACCAGACACGAAAAGAAGATATTGCGTGGGGTGGGAAGGGCCTGAAGACCCTCAAAAATGTTGGTGTAGATACAAATCAAGAATGGAAATGTTGGTTCGTTGACACCGCAGAAAAGCATTACTGCGGTATCGGCTGGACCTCAAGGGCCCAGAAGGTGAGAAAAAGATAGTAACAAAAACCAGGTAGTAGGTTGATCATAAGGCTGAAAAAAAACAATTCATCAGGGACGCGGTTTAACGCACCAGGCGTGTGCCCATCAGGTCATTGTATGTCTATGCCTGTCTCTTCGGCTTTGAAAGCATGTTGAGGCGGCTCATACTAAGACCGCGGCTCTTTTGCTTGCTAGCGGGAGTACCGATTTGGCTAGAAGAAGGACGCACGGGAGTCTTGGCGAGACGTTTCTTCACCGGGCTTGGAGTAGGCGGATTAGACTTGAACCTCTTGGTGCTGCGCTCAGCAGACTGCGCACCAGTAGGTGGCACATTCTCACTATTTGCAGTGATGGGGGCATCCTCGTCGTTAATTTCATCGCGGTGCCTCTTTTTATTAGCAATGCCATGAGCAATGCCGTGAGCCACCACAGGAAGCTCTTGATATTGAGCAGGGTCTTCAGCGGCATCCGATTTGCGAACATGACGAATGGACTTGAATTCAGAAGTAGGAGTACTGGAAGTTAAAACAGCCGAGTTCTTCTCGGGGGTGAGAGCCGGGAGGGTAGGATAGACCACATCTCCAGTCATGGAACGACGCTGAGCGGAAGGGACCTTGGAAGGAGAAGGTGAGGCGACAGCAAGTTCGTGACGAGACTTGACACTCGGAGTGAATTCAACGTGCTTCTTCGGTGAAGGGGTTGGAGCGGTGTCGCTCATATCACCAGCTCCTCCAAAGAGCGACTTGGGATTGAAATCAGGCGCCGCAACGTGTGTTCCAGACGCAATTTTGGCAGGGTCGCGGGAGAAGAGTGGCTGGCGTCTACGAAGAATAGATCTAAGGCTACCAAGGGTGGGCAAATTGCTCTTGAGGCGTGGGTTGAAATCAGTGCGAGGAGTTCGAGGCGAAGCCATGGTTTTGGCAGCCGGGGAGAATTTCAAAGATGGAATCATCGAGGTCCTCGGCGCTTTGATGGTGGTAGAGGTCGTACGAGAGAGCGAAGCGTGTGTGGGGGTCATGAGGGAACTGCGAACGCTTGTGCGAGGGCGAGGGCGAGGGCGAGGACCTGCGGGTCGGCGAGGGGTTTCGACCTTCTGTGATTCATCCTTCTGTGGTCCATGACGAGTGGATGTATCTTCACTTTGGCTGTGCTTGACACGCTTAGCTGTTGTAGCGGCCGTGGGAGCAGACAGGTTTGAGGTCTTGGTGGCAGAGCGAGAAGGTGAGGAGTTCTGGCTTTCTGGTTCGTCAAGCTGTGCCTTGGACTTGGACCGTTTCAAGGACTTGGTAACAGGCTGGAAGCGACCGGGAGTAGCGCGGAAAGATGAAGCATGCCCGGCAATCGAGTCCATCTTTCTGAATGCGGCCATGTGGATGTCGTTGAAGCGGTTGGCCTTGCCCTTTGGCATGGCGATCTTCCGGTCTCCATGAATTTGTGCAGCCTCACGATCTTCATGCTCTTGTTTAGGGTTGTTCTGAACCAGTTGCGCCTTGATTCGAGCGGCATCAGCACGGACGCTTTCCATGAGCAACTTAGCTTCCTCGCTGAGCTCTGCCTCCTGGGAGTGAAATTTGTATTCGAATCCTGGGGTCCCAAACTGGTCGGTCGTGGGAGACGCCTTAGACTTGGTCGGAGTGTTGTCACTGATGTCATGCTTGACTACATTGCCATTGGCATCTTTCTTGATGGGATTGAATCCAAGGAGGAGGCCTGAATCTGCGTGCTTAGTTGTGCTCTGTTGCGCCTTGCTGGGGTGCATTTCTTCGCGGGACGGACGAGCCGCAGTCACACTAGTGGGGGTCCTCATACTAGCGCGCTTTTGTTGAGCAGATGCGCGAGGTGTTTTTTTGGAAGGAGTTTTCGTTAGGGGGGATTGGATGTGTGGGAGTTCGGAGCTTTCAGTCTCCTCGCCCTCGGCAACGGAGGTCAGTCTGGAAGTGGAAGCCGCGACTGGCTGAGGAGCCATCTCTTCAACCTGAATAAAACAGAGAAGGTTAGTTTACCCTGATTTCAACGGTTGTCAGGACCTCAATCTGCCCCACAACAGGCGTTGTGATCATGCTACTCACATCCGGGGATTCCTGGGCGCGACGAAGGCGCGCGGAACGGCGGATCGCCATGATTGAAGACGTAAATGTAAGTAATCAACGGATATCAGAAGATTGCAATAGCTTGCAGAAGTAGAGTAAATAGGTCGAAACAAGGTGTGGGGAAGTATCAAAGTCGAAACGAGAGACTAAAATGTAAACAACGCGCTTGACCGCCCGCCTTGACGTCAGATGACTAAGCACCATAAACAGCCCTGGCTCCCGAGGCCCAGAGCCATTTTCATACTTCCAATGCTCCTTTTCTTCATATTTATCTTTCACCTTTGGGACTTGCTATTTCTCGGGATCATTTCTCTCATTTCCCTAGAAAGAAAGAACTTGATTTCAACCTAACTCTCTGTACACTCAGAGGGCTGAAAGGAGGCTTAACATCTGAGGCAGATATGTAGACTGCATGTTTAGCAGTAACCTTTCTAGAATTCCGTATAATGATGATAATAATAATAATACTAACAATCAATCATTTAAACAAAACTATAGATTTGTTCAATTCTTGTTCTATTGGGAAATAAATAGGAAGATAAAGTCCATGGTAGAGAGCACCTTTGTAGGCCTGATCCCTAAGGCTGAGGAATCAGGCTACTTTAAGCCTCGGGTCAGTCCGCAATTCAACAACTCCTGACTACTCGCTGCTTGGGAGTCCACCATGAAACAATGAGTACCAATGGAAGAAAGAGAAACCATGTGGCACTCGATTCCCACCCTAGAGTAAGACGGGGGAGAAAAACAACTTCCTGTACTCAATGTCACGCCAGGAAGCAGAAATGTAACAGAGAACTGCCTTGTTCACGTTGTATCCAGCGTGGGGTTCCTCAACTATGTCAATGGCCGGAAAAAGAGAAGGGCCATGCGATACCACCAGAAAGAGTGAGCACGACAGGTACTGGATATCCCTGCTGTCAAAACGTAGATCATGACTAACAGTGAAACCTATAGCAGATACCCAGGGAACAGAACTGGGGCAGTTGTATATTGCCCGGGGAGCACCTAGCTTCTTCGGTAATTCATACTTTGGCCACCAGGTGGCAGCGCGCATGATCCAGGAGTCAGCTCCTGATCTGCCCCCTATGAGCTTGCTCTCTAGCAAGGATTCTTTGCAATCATTTCGAAATGATTCTGGGCCATTTTCACAAGTTTGGGATTTACTTGGTCTCTTACCACGAAATAAAGTGACCGTCGATCGGTTAATCGAGAAATTCCTGACCGAGATCAACTGGGCTATCGATACGGTTCACCCTGAAACTTTCAGATCTCAATTTGCAGAATTCTGGGGCAGAAAGTTTGGATTTGATGAAATTGCTGGAGTAGATCTACGCTGGCTTGCTCTTCTGTTCATTATTCTCGCTTTCAGCGTGCTTTTGGACAGCCCCACAGCCTCTTCGCCCGAAAAGCGAAAAGAATGCGAAGAAGCTTCCCTTCGTTTCTATTGGGCTGCCAGGCGAGCGATCGTCATCTCACCCTCTTTTCACGGCGAAAGCTTAGATCTTGTCAGAGCAGGTTTGATGGTTACGCGATATCTATTATACACCAGACAAGCCGCAGAGAGTTGGCTGACCATCAGCTTTGCCATGCGCATGGCCCAAGCCCAAGGCATGCATATAGATGGAGAAAAATGGGGATTATCGAGAAAAGCCACTGAAACCAGAAGACGCCTTTGGAGCAATCTGTACTTGCTTGACAAGACTATTGCGCTCGCTCTCGGTAGACCATATGCGATCTCGGATCATATGTGTCTTATCAAAGCACCTGAAAATATATGGCTAGATGGATTGACTGATGAAGAGTCCTCTATTGCTACACCTCATGCATTGAGCTACCCCACAATGAGCACAGTCGCACTCTTTGGTAGTGGCCTAGGTAAAATTGCAGGTGAAATTCAAGACCGGTGTTTTGGTTTATATCCTGCATCTTACGATATGGTGATCGAGATGGACAACAAGCTTGTTGCATGGAAAGATCAACTCCCGTCCTACTTTGCCGTCGAAGACCCTGAGCTCTCACTGGATGAGTCGCATCCATTTTTACCTTGGCATCGCCTCTATCTGCACTCTGCCTTCCACTTCGCCAGAATCACTCTACACCGACCTTATCTTCTACGCGAGTCTATGACCAATCGCTTCAGCCTTAGTCATGAGGCATGTATCTCGTCGGCATCTTCCGATCTGAAAATCCGTTTACAGTCCTTGAACTATGGCACATCGGAGAATATGCGATGGACACTAGGGACCCACAATATGTTCAACAGTGCCTTCATCCTGGGTATTATCGCCGTGCGGCGACCCATTGCCCCTCAAACTGCGGCAATCTTGAACGATCTTGAGGAATATTGCGAAAGATTACGGAAGGATGTTTGGCTGAACGAGTTTGGTCTTGCTGAGGTCAAAGTGGTAGAGTTGTGTATAATTCGTACCACTGGGCTTGCCAAAGCCACCGACCAGCCAAGTGAGCAGGCGCCAATGAGTCCACCTGAAATGTTGCCAGATTTTATGCCACAGGAGCGCGAAAGAAATTCAATAATATCGACGGCCATGAACATTGAGTCTATTGCAGATGGCGCCTCGTCCGATCAACCAGCTGGCTCGTCGCCCGATATGATGTGGCCAGCAGTCTGGGAAGATCAGAACTTTGCATTCCCACAGGCTGCTGATCTTGAAACCTGGGAGCAAATGATCTCCGAAATTGCATATCACACTTAATATTTGGAATTTCTTGGGATTGTTCTCGTTGATTGTACTAGCATCTGTCGATGTAGATCCTTGGTTTTTATGGTGGGCTGATTTTGGTGCCTGTCTAAATTGCCTAACCATCTCATCAGCTCTCAACTGGGTCGCTCCCATGCACTGCAACGGGCCACAGAAAAGAGCCAATTGCTCCAGCATTGCGATTTCAGTCAAAGCAATCACACTAAGAACCTCTAGCAGAGTCTGATCCTGCTCAGTAGCAGACTTGCATACCTCATAAACTAAATTATGGGTTCCCTGCCGATTTAACTGTAAAGAGCAAAAGATGACAGGGTCTGTAAACTCCGAAGGTTGAATTGAGTAGCCACTAGGCTGAAGACCTCTGATGGATTAGGGGCATCATTGGATGATTGATTTTCAAAATCATAAAAATAGTGAACATCCATGGATAGTATGTAGTATAGTCGATAGCCTTAAATTATAAATCCTGCGTATTATATGATTTGATCTGAATATTTGGTATAAGATAAATTCACAGGATATAGCGGAAGTCGGGGTGGAAATCCCCGCCCTTCTTCTCGTATGATCCCGAGCAGACAATTTGCTCCCTCTCCTCCGGTGTCAGTTGATCCCGCTTCTTATTGTGATATCGGAGCAAAGCCCACATGCCAGCATTACCAAAGAATGCAAGACAGATAGCAGCAAGGGAAACTGAATGACCGACTACATATCGTCCATTAATGGGTGACTTGTAGATTTGACCAGCCTTGAGTCATGTTAGCTTGAGGTCCACAAAACGAGCACATTAATATGATTCACTCACAATCAAACCGGCGCAATTTCCGATAGTCTGCTGGAGACCCACTCCCATGGCGCGCTTGTAATAGCCAGAATGGCTGTTGGCGTTCCAGCTGACTCCAAGTCCAACCACAGCATAGATTCTAGAAGAAAGATTAACAATTGTTTAACAAATAGCTCAATAAAAATACATACCCAGTAACACACACGTATGTGGCAAAGTATAGTGGACCCCGGGCATGGACATCAACCCCAAGAAGCATGGAATAGCCAACTGCTGTCACCAGGCACAGCGGGACCATGAAGGCAGCTCGCATGCGGAATCGGTCAGAGAAATTGGCAATGAGAAGGTAAAACGCGGAGGCCCAGATGTACACGGGAACAGTGAGCAGTTGGGTCTTGACCGAATCAAATCCAAATCCTTTGATAATAGTAGGGAGGAAGGTACTAAACCCAAAGGAACAGGTGTTGACGCAGATTTGGTTGAAGGAGGTTAGCCAGCTCTTGGGGTCTCTCAGTGTTTTCCATACTTCCTTCATATCGAATTCTTCAGTTTCGGCGTAACGTGCTGACTGTTGCATGCGCATGCGCATCAGCTCTTTTTCTTCTTCATTCAAGAAGTAGGCGGTTTCGAAGTTGTTTGGAAGGAAGAAGAACGTGGCAATACCAATGACCGCGCTCATGATGCCTTCCACAATGAAAAGCCACCTCCAACCTTCAAGACCACCAGCACCATCTAGGCGAACTAGTCCAAAAGCGAGTCTAAGGTTCATATTAGCCTTTGTTCCAATTTATTTGATAGAATAGGGAAAGTTGCGCATACAATCCACCAAAGCCTCCACTCAGAGCAGCAGACACGAACAGATACGAAATTCTCTGTGCTTGTTCCTCGCGCTTGTAAAAGGTGGTCAAGAGGACAGTCAAGCAACTGCAGAATTATTAGTCTCAATCCAGAGTATTTACTAAGGCAATCGACTGTCTTACGGGAATAGACCACTCTCGAAAACACCAAGGAAGAGTCTGGTGGTATAAAGTCCAGCAACGTTCTTGATAAATCCGGCAGCCAAGATGGATACACTGAAGCCAATGATCAATGCAGCAATGAGTCTGTTTGGGCGTAATTTCTTGAGGAGCATAGAGAACGGGATCTCAAAGAAGACGTATGTAGCGTAAAATAAAGACACGGCATCTGGTTGAGCATTGTTAGCTATCGCTTTGGAATATCGGACGAGGCTGATCTCACTTCCTAGTTCATTTCCAACTAGGCCAATATCTTCCTGTAAGAGCTAAGTTAGTAACCTAATATCTCACAAAACGTGGACTCGACTTTACCGGCATTCCAGCAACAGCTGCATTTCTAGTCAGGAGTTAGCGATATGAATTCTTGCTTTGTGGATGAGGATCTTACCCTAAGTTGCTTCGATCAAGATATGCAACCAAGAAAATGAGCATCACCAAAGGACAAATGTAGAGATCAAGCTTCAATAGTAGCTTTTTCTCTCGCACAGGGTCAACTACAAAGTTGCCCATCTGTAAATCGTGCTCCGAGGACGAGTCAGTCTGTTTGATATCCATTTCCTTCATTTTTGAACGAGTATGTAAATTTATCGTAACAAATGCAATCCATCCCCGGTTCTTATATATCCCCAGAAGTTAATTAACCGCGAACAGGCGTTATCAATGATCGGGAAATCCTTCGGTTTATTCGAGAACTTGGCGCGTGTAAGGATTTCCCGAATATTTGGGGTGGCGGGCGTGACCAATTAAATTCTGTGTCATCGCATAGATAAGCCGGGGAAGTGCCCAGAAGCTTTTTCGTGCATTAGTTTGATAGTTTTTAACTAGGGGGGCATTTTAAGCTTAAAACTTTAGGATGATTGGCGTATATATCAAGCCCCTTTCAAAACAATCACTATTTTACAGTCATTCCGATATTTCAATACTTTTCTCACATCTACAATCATCTATATCAGCTGATCAGCTGATCAGGCCAGTCGCTATCTTTTACCCGATATGGCTTCCCCGCATTTTATCCCGACTGAGTCTTGGCATCGGCAAATACGAACTTAACCTTATCTTATCTATCAATTTCCCGATGAATTTGCCGACAATGTTTTTTTTGGGGAAACTGCCCATTGATAAGTAGACAAAGTACTCTCGCACTTTTTTTTTATCATTCGGAAATCTTTTATGTCACTATCTCTTAAAATGGGTATCCCAAACGTGAATGGAATGGAGCTCAACAATACAGCAAAACATCCAGTAGGTGCTTCGCCAAGAACCTGTTGGAGTAATCTAATGCATCACACAGGTTTGGAAGCGATGGGTTCGCTTCATAGCAGAAGATGGTCAAATATATGGTGGTGAACCAGTGAATCCCGATATTGATGGTATTGTATACTCAAGTTCACCAAAGTCCAACCCATACTAACAGAGTCATAGTGGGTCAGGCCATAGAACAGAATGTCGAAGTCCCAGTCAAAGTGGTGACTGGTAATTCGGCACTGAATTATGATGCTTCATTCACAGGTGAAATCAAAACAATTTATGAACTGCTATCTCCAGTCTCGCAGATCGAAGCTGGGACTGTTCGATGCGTCGGCCTAAACTACAAGGAACACGCAGCCGAGATGAAGTTGACTCTTCCAAACACGCCAACGTTAGTATACTGCTTTTGATTCTTCCTATAATACTTGCTGATGCCATTTAGCGTCTTTTTGAAAGCCAGCACATGCATTGCCTCTGCGTCCGAACCCATTATACTTCCCTCCAACGTGGATTACGATGAAGCAGACTATGAAGTTGAGTTGGCGATAGTCATCGGCAAACAATGCAAGAATGTTTCGGTGGCTAAAGCAGCCGACTATGTTCTGGGTTATGCAGTCGCGAATGATGTGACTGCCCGCAAGCATCAAGAGAAGACATCACAATGGTCTTACGCAAAGGGAATGGTATGTCGATATAGTCGATGCCCAAGATGAATGTCACGACTAACCTCTATCAGGATGGCTTTTGCCCACTTGGTCCATGCATCGTGTCTACCGAACAAATCCCCGATGCTTCAGTTTTGAATTTAAAGACCCGTCTCAATGGAAAGATCATGCAGGATGGAGCCGCCGATGACATGATCTTCAGCATACCAGAAATTGTGTCTTATCTTTCTCAGGTACATAAAGATCCTATCTATTTTAAGCAAACTGAATTAACCCAAACTATTAGGGTCACACATTACTGCCCGGAACCGTCATCATTACCGGAACGCCTTGTGGCATTGGTATCTCACAGAACCCACCACAATTCCTCCAGCCTGGAGATGAGCTACGGATAAGCATCAGCCATGGATTAGGCACACAAATATGCCCGATTGCGAGGGATTGAGCCCTACACAATCATGTAAATATATGATCCAATGGTGGCTACATAATAGGATCCATCATGTTACTACGTATGTTGAACTGGATGTGGTTTCTTATTTTGTAAAAACAGGCTTGCAGCGGTAAATTACTAGATTCAATTTGGTAGCTGAAGACCGGCAAGGAGTATGGAGGCGCGGTTATTCTACGAGAAGAGATAATAAGGTCTCTGCAGTATCGGTAGCACATAGCTCGCGTGACGTTTTTGGGGTTGAGATTTCTCATTTCGTCTCGGATTAATTGCACTGTGAGGAGCTTGGGCCTACGTTGGTCAAGCATGTTGCATAATAAGTTAAAGAGATTAACGCCAATTCTGAAGATATTAAGTACTTGGGATTGCTTTTGGTAAGCAATTATGTAGTCTCTCACGGCGCTAAAGCTAGGCCGCTTGATAATTTCCCACTTCGAGACTCATGTACGAAATTGTATAGAATGGATTATTACTAGAGAAGCCTTAGTCACCAGTCAGACACCAGTTATACTATAGCCTGAGGCGACACCATTAGTTGGGAACCTAGAACTACGCGTTGAAGGAGTCCATGAACATATAGAGCCATTGACCAGGAAGCAGGACCGTAGATACAATGCTCAACCTATCCCATAATCGTTTCCAAATTCAAATCAAGCATAACATCCAGCCAGAACTCTTCTAAGCCAGAGTCCGCACGATCCCAAGTTTTGTGCACAACGTTATAAATGCGTTGCATTGGCAGTTTTGGTAGGATTAAGATAAGTTCAGACAACCGAATTTTAACCTTTCGTCTAGCCAGGGCAATCTCAACGTCCAGCGTATTCAGACTGGGGATCGTGTTTTCTGTGGCACCCAAGACAGACCCAGACGAGAAAACAAGATCGCTAGAGATGCAAGCTAAAACAATGGGCTGCATAACCTTCGTTCCAGATGTTGAAGGAAGCTGCTCCAAGAGGGATACAATGTGCAGCGCCAGGGTGTGTCGTGCGTCTTCTACTGAGCGAGATGACCATTCGTCGGCGATTGGGAACAACAGTGAAAAGAGGGCCGGGATAGAGAATTCGCCATCCACGGTTTGATTACTTCGTAGTCGTTCTTCAAAGATTTCCGGGAAAACATGGTAAATTTGCAACAGAGCTGTACAGCGATATGCCTCGGCCAAGGTAAGAAAATGCGACGGTGGCGTATTTGTATCGCCGATATCCACAGGCCCACAATAGAATGAGAAGCCAGTGAAGAGTATTTTGTCCTCTAGATGTTCGGCTTTCTGTCTGAGATCGAGTTCTTCGGCCATGGAACTCAAGTCAATCAAGGTGGGACCTAAAGCTTCTGACCTTCGGCGGTAGAAGGTCCTTGAGGCTCGAATCACTCTTGCAGTTCGATAGAAAAGACCCAATGAGTATTTGAGAGACCCTGTCCACGGGTGTGGTAGGATCTCCCCATCGACGAGATAGACTGAAATATCCGTGTCACTGTTTTCTAAAGAGCTTTCGATATCTAGAATAGGCGGCTCCTCTGCCACAAAGGCAGCTAGTAAGTTCCACCAAAGGAGACACTGTTTAAAAAGTGGATGTTGTTTTGCGAGAGCAGAGTTTGCATTCTTGCACTGGTGTTCTTGTCTCAGAAGATGATCTTGGGCGGCTCTCAGATATGGAAGTCCCAAATCAGAGGCATTGTGCCACCCAGTGGTGGATCCAATCATAAGTAATGCCAGAAAGTACTCATCATCCTTTGTCTGAGTGGAACGCTTTTGGCTACTATTATTCAGGCACGCAATTGCTTGCTGTTGTGCCTGTATTCCGATGGCTCGCATGGTTGGAAAATCGTTGGCCAACGAGGCAGCTGACATGCTCTGGATAGCAAAGTAAATCGCCGCATTTCGACTCCAGAGCCGACTGACAATTGTTCGAAAAGGATTGAGAGGACAGTCAAAGGATGACCACTGGTTACAAACTGTATGAAAGTAATATTGCACCAGCATAACTGGCAATTGGATGAGAAAGGAGGGGACGGATGTGTTGGCTAGTCGTTGACGCAGAATCGACAACCCATCCAGCTGGCTATCAGGCTTCATTAAAACTGCACCATTAGACACCGATTCAGTGTAGAACCAGGCATCTGTTGGCTCATCAAAATCCGGCAGCTGATCAAAGAAGTTTGAGCAGGCTGTGTCCCACATGTCCTGAGTTTCATTCTGAACATTGTCTTTTCCCTCCTGTGTTTGATTGTTCACTTCGGAAAATTCGGTCGCAACTGTGTCAGGAGACTCAATTGGTGGCGTTGGCTGATTTGGCTGATTTGACTCTTTGCTGTCGTTGAGAATATATCGCCACTGCAAGCTTGGCTTTTGGTAACCGGGGCATGTGTGTCCTCGCTTGGTACATTCCTGACAACTTGGCTTCGCCTCGTCACATCTGCGCTGAATAAGTATTAGTTATTTAGAACTTAAAGAGCGCCTTCGAAGATGAAGGAGAAACTGTGTATCTTTCACCTCGACTTACTCGCCGCTGCTTGCACCTTTGGCAGCCCCCTCTTGATTTTGGTCGGCACCGGTTGGGATTCGGCCTTTTCTTCTGTGGAGAAGGCAATTTATCTGTGCTTTCCATTTTAGTTAAAGCAAAGATACTGAGAATGTTGCTTCGCTGACAGAGGGAAAAATATCAATCTGAGATAGCGGGGCATCGGATGAGAACCCGATCAAAGAATTCGAAGACCGGTACATAAACCGAGATCCGATCACCTGCCGATAAGCAATGCCTCATCTCTGCTGAGACCCCCGCAATTATTTCGAAGTGGAATTGTTGAGAATGCCCAAATAGTAACTCGCCCTCTGCACCTTCCTTAACGCTAATCCAAAAAAAGATCAACAACCTTTACGCTTCGAGACGGGTTCGTTTTCTTAATGTGAACTAGCGCCTTTTTTCTATATTCATTGATACGCGTAACCCAACCTGTCAAGCATTTACAACCAAATTCTCATTTGTGAAATCTTGATCTTCAAGCTATCAGCATCTAAGGATAGGCCCGGTTAGATACGCCCCACCAGCTGTATAGCAACTGGGTGGTATGAAGTAAGTACAAGTACTTCTTAGGACATGGCTTGGGTATATTGGAGTTGATATTGTAGAGTTCTTCAAATCGGGACAGATACTGACACATCTAGGGAGGAGCTCTCCATCATTCGAGTATTCTACTTCGTTCTTGGTGGAAAAGTAGAACGCCCATGTTCCAACTCTCGGTCAATGGCAACTCTTTCTGAATTTATCTCTCGCCGTATCATGTCTTATAATGACCTCATATATGCGGAGGATGTTAAGTCCTTTTAATGTTAGTTATTTCCATATTATGAGAGGAAATTTGCACGGATATCCAGCTGGTAAAGCTCGTTGATCTTACGATCATAGCCTGCTATTGGGATTTCAGTATTTGGAAATATCATCTGTGTTAACAGCTGGGCTACATCAACTAGTATCATGACCTGCATAGGCCCTCCGAACCAATCAATACTAATCTAAATTTCTCACGATGTGAGTCCTCGGGAGCTCGGGAGGGAACTCCAGGACCCACATTGGGCAGCCGTATTAGGTATAGCGTAGCCGTCGTTTATATTAGCGTTAAAACTCTAACCCGTTTTGTACTAGTTTTGGTACCTAAAACAGTTAAACTTCCAATGCGGAGAGGATCATCTATCCACAGATGTTTCAGCTCAGGCACATTTTCTGTCCAATCTCTCTGCTAGTCTTATCTTTGCGCTATATGTAGTTGCCCAAGTCATCAGAATTTCCTGTCAAACGTTATCTCGGCGAGAATCCGTTTCTCCACTTAGTAGATAGGCACCTCGGCAACATACCTCGGGGTGCAAAGCTCGGAGAAATATGGGATAATGGTTTGAGGGAATTTCATCCTCACTGGTCAATATGCTCAAGCTTTTATGTGGAGAGTAAAAGCCTAGCCTGTGCATAGGATTACCCTCACCGGAATAAGCGAAAAATACCCTGGGTTCCCTAATTATCATTGCACCCGAAACTTCCTTTCTAGCAGTGATTACTCGATTAAATCAGTATATACCTAGGATTTGACTCCAAGCAGCTTAGCCTTTTATCCTGGCCTTGATCAAGATCTCTAAATCCCAAGAATTTCCTTCTGATTTTGTCAAACATCTATCATGGCAGACAAAACCATCGCCCAGCATCGTTCTTCGAAGAACAAAGGTTCGGAGCCCGATTCACCTGCTGAAACTCACAGCATCGAAGAAGGCAAACAATCTTCAGCAAACGGGGTATTGGAGGCCCTGGGATACGAGCCTGAACTCATTCGAAATCGCTCCACGCTTCAGGTAGCTTTCATGTCCTTCGTGCTCGCAGCAATTCCATACGGACTAGCTACGACTTTCATCTACCCTCTTGTTGGGGGAGGCCCTGTCAACATAATTTGGGGATGGCTTGCCGTCTCTTTGATTATTCTATGCGTGGCTGCCTCACTTGGCGAAATAACCTCGGTCTATCCAACGGCCGGTGGGGTCTACTACCAAACCTTTATGTTAGCTCCACCGTCGTATCGAAGAATTGCCTCATGGATCTGCGGATGGTCATACGTTGTTGGAAATATTACCATCACACTTGCAGTCAACCTTGGGAGCACTCTTTTCTTTATTTCATGTATCAACGTTTTCGAGTCTGCTCCAGGGGTGGGGATCTTCCAAGCGGAAACATATCAAGTTTTTCTTATATTTCTGGCAGTCACATTTTTCGCTAATGCAGTATCGGCCTTCGGCAACAAATGGCTACCTTATCTTGACGTATGTCTAACAACCCTTGTGACAATACCACTCTGCTAATATTGAAGCTAGACATTCGCAATATTCTGGACGCTTGCAGGAGTGCTGGCTATTGTCATATGTGTTCTTGCAATTGCGAAAGAGGGTAGACATGACGCCGAATATGTTTTTACTAGTTTTGAGCCCGAGTCTGGTTGGCTCGCAGGCTGGTCCTTCTGCATCGGACTTCTACAGGCAGCTTATAGCACTTCGTCCACTGGCATGGTAATTTGGTAGGTGACTTATTTGGTTTCCACCCCAAAGGGACATCTCTCGTCTCAATCTCCACTATGAAAATATCAACTGACATGTCAAAGTATGTGTGAAGAGGTTCAGCAACCATCAACACAAGTCCCAAGAGCAATGGTCGGAACAGTCATTATAAACACACTGGCTGGATTTCTCTTCCTTATTCCATTGGTTTTTGTACTCCCCGACACCAAAGCTTTAGCAGCTCTCGAATCTGGCCAACCCCTTCCAAGTATTATCAAGTCCGCCATTGGTAGTCCGGTTGGATCATTCCTACTTCTCCTACCATTGGTAGTGCTCGCTCTGTTCTGTGTCATAGGCTGCACCACGGCTGTCTCCCGAAGTACCTGGGCGTTTGCTCGCGACGGGGGCATACCAGGTTCCGTATGGTGGAAGAAGGTAAACAAAGACGGCGTACCTTTTAATGCTATGATGCTTGGCATGGTTGTTCAAATATTACTTGGATTGATTTACTTCGGGTCAACTGCTGCGTTCAATGCGTTCTCCGGTGTCGGAGTTATTACCTTGACTGTCAGTTATGCTTGTCCGATCGCTGTGTCACTTGCTAGAGGTCGGCGACACATAAAAAATGGCCAATTTGACCTTGGCACACTCGGGCTAGTTTGCAATGTCGTGGCACTAGGTAAGTAACGATCCAGCATGTTTTATCGCCATTACTAATTGTATATTTGCTTTTAGCATGGAGTATTCTTGTCATTCCGTTATTTTGCATGCCTTCTTCAATCCCTGTTTCTGCAGATACGTTCAATTACGCACCAGCCGTTTTTATTGCGTTTATACTTATTGCTTCTGGGTGGTACTGGGCTTGGGGGTACGAGAAATATGTTGGGCCACCAATGGTGAACGATGAGTTCCACTAATTAGACTGGCAAGATAAGGAATTTGGAGTAAAAGCTCCAATATAAATCTGAACCCGAAATGAATATCCTCCGTATATTTGGTTGCACATTTGAGGCTGAGAGGGCACGGGCCCCTCTCAGTGTCTCTCATTTCCCCCACTCAGTGAGATTTGCTCCGTGCAATTTCTCTATAACCTCAAAATCTCCTGGCCTAGATCTACTCACATCTAGTAAAACCAAAATGGAGGGACAGAAGTCCCGACCCTGCGCTGATCTGCTATTGTTGCAGTGGGGCGCAGGGGATACAAACGATTGGCGACAAACTCGGCGGGCAAACTTCCATCTCGAAGATCCAACTGACATTTCGGATATTATTCCTGTTTGGTCTAAAATATGTATCATGTATGTACAATTGTCCAAACTCAGAGAACGCCCCTAATTTCACAAGAGTGGCCAATTCTATCGATATTGAGAGATGTTCGCAATGTCGACAAGCCTTCGTTGATGCCTTTTGTATGCCTCATTTTTGGTGGTTTCATTATTTCTCTAAGGGAAATGGCAGCTTTGGATGTGAAAGAACGCGAGATTCCGGAGTCACCACTGGTTTTAGTAAGTACGCCACAGATGAATGGTTAGACATCACTAATTTCTTTTCCCTTAGATACTTGGTCTAAATTCGCCGTGAAAAAGGTAGACCGTGATACCAGATTCAGATGGTATCATACAAATATCTTCACACGATGGCTACCCTCAACTAATCAAACTGTGATCCTTGCCTTCGATTTCGACCCGCCCCTCAAAGAACGTTTCCTGGGAGCAGTGATGAAACCGAACGAAGGCTGGCTCAACGATCCATTTTGGGTCTATCCACATTTAGTCGAGCAGATTGCGCTGGCTCAGGAGCCCTCTGTATGGGCTATTCGGGATCATGTCCGACTGGCGGAGACGGAAGTGAAACCAGAAGGAAGACCACAGCCCGACTACAGACGTCTCCACGACATCGCCCGACACGCAATTCATGTGAACGAGACACTAGATGTTGCCTTGCAAAATTTAGAGCACATCTTGATGCAACATGAGAGCTATATAAACTCGAAAGATAATGTCTCCCCTGCTTCTGAAGACATCCATCTTCGTCTGCAATCCTGGCAGTCATTCATCATCAACTTACGATCTCGGTCCATTTCGAATGAAAAGAGACTGCAAAACGAAATCCAGCTGGCCTTTAATACTGTGGCTCAACATGATGCCAGTGTAACTCTTGAAATTGGTCGGGCGACTCAATTAGACAGTGCCACAATGAAAACGATCGCCTTTGTTACACTTACGTTCCTCCCTCCTACATTCATCTGCGCTATCTTCAGCATGTCATTTTTTGATTTCGGTGGGGACTCTGGTTGGACTATGTCGAACAAGTTCTGGATTTACTGGGTCTTCGCTATACCCACCACTATTTTTACAACTCTAGTGTGGACTTATTGGCCAGATATCCGTAGCATGTTGTTTTCTAAAAATGAACAAACTTGAGAAATCTTATCGGATTTCAGGAATTGAAATCACAGAAAGGCAAACACTCAATAATTATCCTATTTAGCCTAAATTATGATCAAGATAGATTTACAATGTGATCGAAGAGGCATATTATTTTCCTGCAAAACCTTCAGGTCACTGGTCATTTCTCATTTCCCTTTCCGTCTCGTGATCAGATAGAAAACCAGTCACATAGCTATCTTGTCCTGAATACGGGGCAAGCACAGCCTAGAAAATTTCGCTTCCCAAGTTTCATGCTGTGCCGGTGGCTTGATCCATCACACCTCCTTTTACACATTTGATAGAGTAAACATGTAAACAATAGTACAATCGGTCACCTGATTGGTAGCAATACCCGGTAAAATGATGAGACCAAATGCAACCAAAAGAGACATATGCACGTTAAGGTTATCCCGCAATGTTTGTTCTCTCACCTGACCACCCTGGATTAGGGCCGGATCCCCTTTTATGTACAGAGGTGGATAATCCGGTTGATCAATCACGCGAGCTTTTGCCCTATCACAATGTCAGAACTATATGACTTGCTAGCTTTTAGGAAATGAGAGCCTACAGCGCTTCCAGCGTCAACATACATTACACAGTTCATTTCGAAAGCATCCCAAAAGCAATTACCGAGTACATTCTCTTGGATAACCCCTTAGTTTAGGATGAATGGTCTTCCGGGCTTTTGCTCAGGATTTTGCGGCTGGGTTCCAGTCTAATATAAGTATACTCATGCCCGGAATTAGTATAGTAATCTTGTAAAACCATCCTCTCAACTCAATTCAGAGTTCCAATTTATTTTGAATTCCATCTTTTGCCGAAACAAATCCTCGAACCAACCAAATATCATGCCCTTTTCGCGCACATTGTCAGTCGTTGGATGCCACGCCGAAGGTGAAGTTGGCGATGTGATTACTGGCGGAGTACTCGATGTCCCTGGCAGTACAATGTACGATAAACTAGTTCACTTTTTGAACGAAAAAGACAACATACGTCAGCTTTTACTTAACGAGCCTCGGGGTCGGTGCTCAATGAACACAAATTTGATCCTACCCCCTTGTGATCCACGAGCCGATGCTGGATTTCTGATCATGGAAAGCGAGGAATACGCACCTATGTCGGGATCCAACACAATCTGCACCGTCACCGTACTGTTGGAGACCGGCATGGTTCCGATGAAAGAGCCCATCACTCAACTGACCCTGGACACTGCAGCCGGTCTGGTCACCGTGAAGGCAGAATGCGAAGCGGGAAAATGCAAGAGCGTGGCATTCGACAATGTACCCGCCTTTGTATTTGAACTTGATTATAAAGTCCTGGTCCCCGGCCTTGGAGAGGTCTCTGTTGACATCGCCTGGGGAGGGATGATGTACGTCCTCGTTGATGCAGCTTCCGTAGGGCTGAAAATCGAATCTCAATATAGCGCGCAGCTAGTTGAGATAGGCGAACGTATCAAACGCGCAGTCCAGGCCTCCTACACACCTGTCCACCCTGAGAATCCCAGAATCAAGGGAGTCAGTATTTTGGAGTTCACGGAACCTCTCACACAAGAAGAGGGTTGCAAAGCTGCTGTCAACACTGTTGTTGTTTCACCCGGGCGTTTTGATCGCAGTCCTTGTGGGACTGGCACGTGTGCTCGACTCGCTGTTCTACATGCCAGAGGTCAGTTGGCGGAGGGTGAGATGTTCAAACATCGCAGTATTATTGGTACCGAGTTCACCAGTCACATTCGTGGAACTACCCAAGTCGGCGAATATCAGGCTGTTCTCCCGACTGTTGCTGGAAGAGCTTGGATAACTAGCTTCAAGCAAATAGTTCTTGATTCGAGCGACCCATTCCCAGAAGGATTCAGGGTAGGGGATCAGTGGCGAATGGCACCGAGCTCATTGATTCAAGGCTAAGAGAAGAACAAGAACTGTTTCTGGTTGAGCTGCCGCCTCCGAGAAAGTCCTTAGCAGCCTTGCCGACTTAATGGATTATACTCCCAGCTTAATACACCCGAACCCAAAATAAAAATTGGAATGTTCAGAAAATGATAACTCAACTGATATTAAAGACCGAAAGGGTTTGATATATACATCATTCAGACTGCGAATTTCATTCTTCCAACACTAAAATAAGTATAAAAAAAGGCTCACAAATCAACAATTAAAAGGAGCGTCTAGGCTGATAGAGAGATATTGTCGTTGCCTTAAGCCGGTCATCTGAGCCGTCCTTCAACATGTTTCTCGGATTGTTCATTCAATCAGACAGGAGAGGGAGGATAGCTCTGATCGGGCTCGACGACATTTCCGCCTTCAAGCTGCTCGTCGGTGTAGCCGGCCCAGATAATCTGGGAAATTTCATTGTTTACAATCGACAAGGTAGTGAAGCCATTGGTAGGGTCAAACTGGCCGCTCCAGCCTGAGCTGATGGAGTATTTGCCACATGGGCTAGGGCCTCCATTAGCATGAGAGGCGTCGTCGGCTTCCACGACATAGGTACAGTCGGTAATCTCTGAACCGGGGTCGATGCCAAAGGTCCAGGTGCATGAAGTGTTTTCGTCGTTGCAGACGCGCTTCATACTTCGAACGGTCCAATCAGAGCTGGCGACAGGGGCAGCAAAGATAGAGGAGGCAAAGAGTCCAGTTGCGAGAAGAAGCTGGTAGATCTGCATATTTGCGATTTGATGACTTATTGGATTGTTGGAGGGAGAATGTTCGAGGTTTGGACTATGCGTTGTTCGGATAAGAGTTGTGAGGATAAGGATAAGAAGGAAAGCATGAACAGAAGGCATGAAGGTATTTAAGTCTTTTTACAATGCTCAGATGTTGACCTTCAATTCACCAAAGCATAGACTATGGGATAAGGCATCCCACACTTTGAGGTTTCTGACATTCCGCCATGATCTCTTGGAACAGACTTCCTAGATGCTAATGCTATGTCGATCGATGCAACAGTACAAATGGAGTACATGAGAGATACCTCCACTAATTGCTGGAAAGGTTGAGCCTCATGTCTCACTCGTGGCAAAATAAGACCGAAGACATGATTCCTATACATAGTACATGACCTCATAGGTAGACATTTAGCATATAATAGGGCACGTTCACAGCCTAACCAATCGAAACTTGGGAGCCTCAGGTTAGGCCACCTATATACCCGGGAGGGCTATTTCTAGATACGTGTTCTCGAATAAAGACATTGAGATCGTCTTCCGGTGATTTTTGTTACGAGGAATATCCAGGCGCCCCAACCGCTAGCTTGTCGATCCCTAAGCTGAGCCAAGTCATGTTTACCCATGCGCAGCCTAACCTGGGAACGCCGATCATTCCCAAGAATGTGAGAGAGAAACTATTCCAATGAAAATCAAAACAGAATTCCCAAAGGGTTGAACAAATCTGCCCCCAGGGCTTATGGGTCACGGGCGGACCCTGCGCCCCGCAAGTACCAGGCACCTGGACAGCTCCAAAGCCCTGGAGTAGTTTTTGGCCTGGTGTTTTGGGCATCCATTTTTCCTCGTAACCGTGGTTTCTGCCAAGGCTACTCCCATCTCCAACTCCGTCTCCAACTTCAAAGCCACACTTCTCTACTCAAATCTGCTATCTCTATTTACTAGTCTGACTATGTCTCAAAAGAAACTCAAAATTGCGAGTCTGGGCAGCTCCTTTGCTGCTGGTCCTGATATCCCCCCACAAATCGAACCAAAGGCCGCACTGCGATCAGGACAGAATTACCCCCATCTTCTGGCGCAGCACTTGGACGCTGACCTCACTGATCTGTCGGTTTCTGGTGCAACGTTGCTCAACATAACAGTCGATCCACAGTCTACCGCGTTCAACGTGACCTTCCCACCGCAAATCACCGACCTCCCCGAAGATGCTGATATCATTACCGTGACTGCTGGAGGAAATGACATAAACTACATCGGTGGCATGATCGCCGATGCTTGTGATGCCGAGCTCCAATCATCTGCACCATTATCACCCAGCGAATTAGCAGAACGGCTAGCGGGAGTTATCGATCAGATACACAAACGAGCTCCGGGAGCTCGAGTCTACCTTGTTGAATATCTTGCTGTTCTGGGACCTGGCACTCAAGCTGGTCGGGATATCCCGCTGACCGAGGAGAAAATTCAGCATTACCGTGGTGTTGCGTCTGATCTACAACATGCGTATTCTGTCGCTGCGGAAGGTCGAACCGATTGGTGTGAGACGGTCCCAATTCACCAACTCAGCCAAGATCACACACTTGGAAGCAGTGAACCATGGGTTGGGGGATTCAACGTAGGACCTCTTCTCCATCCGAACCTTGATGGAATGAAGGCCGTAGCGGGAGTTCTAGCCGAGGTTGTCCGCAAGAACACATCGTTCAAAGCATCGTTGTGAATCTAATCATTATAATACACTCTGCGCGGTCTCACTGGGTTGATTATGATTGTCAAGCAGGCTAGAGCAGGTATGAGATATCATCATCATCGATGTGATCTCCAAAAGCATATGGATTCGATCTCTGTCACCTGTCAGATCAAGTACAGACGTATGAAACGTTACATCAAAATTGAATATGAATGGAATGAGCTGTGAGCTGTGAGCTGATTATACAATATAGTGTGGTCTCCAAAAGGTTAGAGGACGGGCTCATCAATACCATTGCTTCAATTGGCTAGTTGGTCATCTTATTGCAGGTTTCCCTCATATCCCTCTATAAGGATATAAAAAGCAGTGTTAAATAAGATTTATAAGGGTGGTCCAAAATGCGAATCAAGATCTCAGCTATACAATATCTAATCTCTATCAGCAGCCTTAAACTGCGCACATATGATGTATTCTTCCTAAGGTCTCTCTTGGGATTTTGAGCCTCAAACATAGAGAGAAAAAAAGAATACCAAGTTTAACACTTGCCATAGCTCCGAGACACTCGGGCATACTGTTTGCCGCTAGCGTTTGGGATTTTCGTCGGGGCACGTTATTTAGGGCATTATTGGACCTATCTAGGTACTGTGGGGAATGACATGTGCACCAATCAGACTACAATCTGTTACACAAGATCTTGTGGGTGATCTGGGGTAAACCCCGCAGTTGAGACGAGAACACCCGGCTGTTTTTTCAGACTGTTAATAATGCAAGCCCTTATAGAAAATAACTTACTATTGGACCTTGTTACTCATTTTGAACCCCATAAATATCTCGGAAAAAGAATAAGCTTGCACACCAGATACACGTAACTAGCATCGAATTTCTGCGATCAGGATGCAAATGCACGATGTATACGGACACCCCTCGACTGTCGGTGAGGGCTATGCATACTTGGCACCTGTCACCCGTATATCAGACAGATATATAACCAATAAGACAAGGCTTGCCTTGGATGGCCCGTGGATGGGCAATCCAGGTAAATAAGCAACTAGTAGCGCTAACAAACCCAAGCCGCTAATGATAATGAGAGCATTGCCCGTGTTGTCTTGGCTTGCCGTCTTGGGTTATGTACAACCCAAATTTGATTGATTTCAATACGTTTCTTTTTTGTTCAAATATATGCATCAGATTATATGCTGCCGTATGGTGCGTTGACCGTTCTGGTTAGAACAAAGAAAGTCATCGTACACGTATTATTCTATATATAATATCTATACTGCCGATCAATCAAGACCTATGTCACTGATAAGCCTCGTGAACTGAGTAGTATTCGTACAAATTAGTGTCATTCTACATATCCGGAAGCTTTCATTCCATCTTTGTCGGACCGAACACTTCGGGATGTCATCTTCCGGCTCCACGCTTCGCGTCCAGCGAAAGCGAGGACTGTCTCTTCAAACAAATCCGAGAGCCTTTCATTCCATATTAGAGTCTTTGAATATTCATTTCTTAAATCATCATCTACCGGTACGGTGTTTATCTCAATCCATCATATAGAGATATCTTGGTGACCTATACCCCGCATCCAACTTCCCCTCTTACAGACAAGACCACGATATGGGAAAACGCATAATCATCACTGGAGGCTCTGGCAAAGCCGGCCAGCATATTATCAGATATCTCCTCCAACAAGGCCATGATATCCTAAACCTGGATCTCGTTGCTCTTCCCGCCGAACTGGAAGAGCAAGTCCACACCCTGCGTGTCGACCTGACAAACACCGGACAGGTATACAGCGCACTAGGCTCTCATTTCCGCTTGACAGAGCCGTTCCGTGAGCCGCTCGGATTACTGCCCGATGCAGTCATTCACATGGCCGGGTATTCGCGCAACATGATCGTCTCAGACGAAGAAACTTTCCGCGGTAATACCTCGGCAATGTACAACATAATCGAAGGCGCCTCGCGCCTCGGCATCAAGAAAATCATCATCGCCAGCTCTATCACTGTCTACGGAGTGAGTTTTGCAGAGGGGGACATAGATTATCCCTCCTTCCCAGTCGAAGAAACCGTTGACGCAAACCCGATGGACACATATGCTATCTCGAAGGTGTGTGGAGAGAGCATTGCACGGGGCTTCGCGCGCCGGTATGGAAGCGACATCTATGTTCTGCGCATTGGTCGCGTTGTTGCCCCAGAAGAGTACAAGCAGTCCATGTTCCGCTCATACGTTGAAAATCCCGACAAATGGGCGCCCCATGGCTGGGCGTACATCGATGCTCGAGATCTAGGGCAAATGTGTGATCTTGCGGTTCAGAAGGATGGTCTTGGATTTCAGATCTTTAATGCTGTCAATGACGAAATTACGAATTACGAGAATACTGCTGGGTTCCTAGCGCGGGTTTGTCCCGACGTCCCGGTTACGCGAGAACTGGGGGCCAAAGAGGCTCCGATCAGTAACCGAAAAATCAAGGAACTGCTTGGGTTCAGGGAAGACCATCATTGGATGAAATATTATGAATAACTGTACGGAGTAAAGAAATCAAATCTGATTAATATCACCTCGGTACTTTTGTACAATGTTGAGAGACTGGGGCTAAGCAGGTCACGCGCCCATTCCCGATGACATCAGCAGATCTTTGTTGCCGAATGTGGAGTCTCCAGGGCCAATTCTTGGCCAAATACGAACAGTAATATTCCACGTTGCAGGTGTGGTAGTAGTATGAGAACCTATTATTTCTAGCCTTTGTTAAATTTAACTAGGTCGAGCCCACACATATTCGAACAAAGGATGCAAATGTTTCACCGTATACCGAATTGATCAAAGTCAAAGGCACCTATCTAATAAACGAGGCTTTCTCCATGGCGTAATCAAGCGGGCTATAATCCCGGCAGTGAGGCTGGATATGCCTACAAAACTCTTGGCTAACAAACGGGTTGCAATTTCAATCTTTTTTTTCCCTTTTAGCCACGGGTGACTTGGATATAATATCTTGCCCCTGAACCTATAGGTGTGAGGGTTTTTGATGAGACGTTGGGATAAGTTCACAATCACATTGTAGAACGTCGAGGACCCCGAATGGACAGGTAACACAATATGGATACACGATCTGGCAGAGAGCAGAGAGCTCCAATCATGAAGTCGGGTGGGAATTGGACAGCGAATCCTTTTGCTTTTTTGAATCTCAATGTTTTTTTTGATCACTTTCCTGTTTTTGTGATTTATTGCTATTATTACATACCTAAGAAATATAACTACTATTCCTACGTTACTTCTAATATTCCCGTCCTCTAACATCCAAGTCTGGGGTATCCTGATCGCCGGCCCCCGCATGCAATATACGGGGTGCGCCCCAGCTTCGTTTCCCTTCGCCTCTTTGTCTTTTTTCCCCATTTCTGAATTTTTCGTCTGTTTTCTGTATTGCTTTATTTCTTTTCTAATGGGTCGATCTATCGCCCTAGATTCTCCTATATCTCACCTCATCCGCATCCACATACATTGATCTGCTCCACTCGCCATGCAACTGTTCCCCTGACACATAAGTCAACGCCATGAGCAATTTCAGTGCCGCCGGGGATGGCATTAGTAGTAACTACGAGGGTGCTGGCGTTCCCTTGCAGATTACTATCGCAACTCTTGCTGGTATCACTTGGTACAATGCCTTGGAGTTAATGATTCTCCTCTTTGTCACCTTCGCGGAATACCGAGGACTTTACTTTTGGAGTTTATTTGTCTCTTCCTCTGCCGGTCTGATTCCCTACTCGCTGGGCTTCTTACTCAAGTTCTTCAAACTCACCGACAAAATTCCATGGCTCCCTGTCACCTTGCTTACAATTGGATGGTGGTGCATGGTCACCGGCCAGTCTGTTGTCCTGTACTCGCGCCTACACTTAGTCCTGCCAAACCACCGAATCCTGCGTCGCGTGTTGATCATGATCGTGATTAACGCACTCATCCTTCATCTTCCCACTACCGCCCTCACGTACGGCACCAACCTAGTCCACGACGAGGTCGCCCTGGCCCCATGGAAAACTGGCTACAACATAATGGAAAAAATCCAAATGACAGGCTTCTGTCTACAGGAGTTCATCATCTCGGGACTATACATATGGGAAACAGTGCGCATGCTACGCTTAGACCCGGACCGTGCCAAGCGCAAGATTCAGTACCAATTACTAGTCATCAACTTCATCATCATCATCATGGACTTGGGTCTCCTCGTCGCCGAGTACATGAACTTCTACATCATGGAAACCATGCTCAAAGGCGCCGTATACAGCATCAAGCTGAAGCTTGAATTCGCCGTACTCGGTAAACTCATCCACCTGGTACAAAATCACGTCTGGAAACCCGAATCTTTCTCTGCGCCACGCGACCTGCCTGATTTCGTCGACGCAAGCCGTGTGACATCTGATATGACCCATGCTGTCCCTAGCCTCGTCCACCGCAGACCTTCCCGGATGGATGCAGACGACGTTTCTATCGCCTTCTTCGAACATCTACCATCCGACCGTTTACGAACCAATTCCGATCTCTCCAACTCGTGGAGCAGTGAGGCCCGCGCCTATCATGTGGATCATCTCCCAACCGACTTCACCAATCCTTTCCGCCATTATTCCCGTCGCCAGAGTCGTCGGGAAGTACCTAAGAAACCGGGGTGACAATAGATCCCGTCGCAGCAATATCCTTCAGACTTCTTTCTTCTTCATGAATCATGGTTTATGATATATGATCATCATTGAGACTTCCGATACCCCACTTTATTCTCCGTGAATATCACACATCAACCAGTCTTTAAATCGATCTCTCCCTCGACAACCCTGAGGAAATTCAACTTCCCACCGTCAAACCTCGCGCCCAGCTCCTCGAGTCATCCAAATTGAAGATTCACCAAGAGTTATTGTGCTGCTGAGCCAGAAACTTCCATAATGGGGAATCCCCAATTGTGCAGCCCACCAGGGTTCATTTACGATAGTGCAATGTAGATGCATGTTCGTCTTTGTTTGTGTATACAGCGATTTACAATAGTTATATCCTCAGATGCGGTTTTATTGAATATATTCCATTCATCTTGACTCCACACTTTTCTCTATTCGAAATATCTAGGCTGCCGTGAGTTCCGTCTAGTTTCTAGCAAGCACTATTGTTCTAAGCTTGTCATTGATTTCTGTGTCGCTCTTTCGTCGTGTCTTTATTTGAAGTGTGGCTTCCATATTGCTTTGAGTTTTCACGCAAATGAGACAAATTTTTTCAATTAGAGTAGGCTGTAAGTCAATGTTTCAGGCTTTCCGAGCATATGTTAACGCTTATATTTACGTACATCTATCTGTGTCTGCCGGATGAATTTCCATAGATAGACAGAACTTTAGTCTCTATAAGCTTAATTACTCCAGATAGTTCCAGGGCTCAGATGGTTATGGCTTGAGCTTAAATTACTTAAAATGCTCCGAGGTCCCAAGATTGAATCTTCTTAATTCAACATCTCTCTGACCCTATGAGTCCTATGCTTGATAGCCTCACCTTTCCTAAATCCCCACAGTTGTCGGAAAATCCCACTCTGAATCACATGCAATTATCAGATTATTTCTTTGTTATAAAACAGCCCAGGATCAAGGCAGTCGAGGCGATGTGTTGCTAAAAGTTCTCTTTCAACCCCTAGTATAAAGGCTCATATCGTGTAAATTGAATACGACAGGATGAATGGACATTTCCCACGTTTCTTAGTTAGATACTGTCTGCGTTCCCAGTCACAACATTCACTTCCTCTTCTCCCGTCTCGTCGATTTCTCTCCAAGCTAAGCAATCATCCGGCCCACCATGACGTACACGTCCATCAAGGTTCAAGGGCCACCAGAGGTATCGAAATCAGACCACGAGACTCACCTCCAAGCCCAACTACAATCTATCCCAAAAACCACAAAAGAGCTCCTCATCACAGTGCATACCCCATCGGACCCCGAGTGGGCTATACTCGGAGCCCACTTCTCCTCCGTAAGGATCCTAAGGCTGGAGAGCCATAACCGTGAATACAAGCTGAACAACAAGCTTATTCCACTCCACTGGCCTCTACAGCAACTCACGCTATACTCGACATTCGGACAGCTAACCCAGACTCCCTTCGTACGCAAGGGGCTAGTCGGGCACCTAATCCTGTTCTACGACTATTATCTACGCTTCAAGGGTCTCCCGAACGATAAACTGTCTGAGGAGGAACAGTACACCCTTAGGAAGGGGCCAAAGTTCCCATCTGCCAAATTCAATAAACCAAACGACAAGAAGCTTGTCGATTTCACAAGCTTTGTGGCAGACCACATGCACAGATTTCTCGGTGAGACCTTGAATATTGAACCGGAGAATGAGCCACCTGCAGGCCCAATCAATCTGCACACACTCGAAATCTGGGAATATGATTCTGTCGATGTATTCTGCCGTATGGCGATGGCGCTACCTCACCTCGTGGAAAACTTGCAGACACTGCTCCTCCGATACACTGGCATGGGCAAAAGCGAACCACTCACAATGGGCTGTTTTCGGGCATTCTTGCCTGCTTTGACTAATTTGAAGACGTTAGACCTCAAATTTGCGGATTTCGGGGATATGTCCACCGTGGAGATAATGTACAAGTTTTTTCCGCCTGATTTGACAACCCTTTTCTTCCGCGGTCCCGCTTTGCTAATAGAATCTGAGCATTGGGCGGATTGGCTGCGGGCTTTTGAGTCTCCAGACCTTCTGCCGCAGCTGCAGCGTTTGACCTTTGTATTGGATATACACTACGAGTATTGGTGTCGGGAGGTGGATATCGCAGCCCCGGAAGAGATACTAGGACGGGCACGGGAGGCATGTGAACCCCCCTATGAGATTGCTCGGAAACGTGGAATTACTATAGAGTCTATTCCGATAGATGATGATGGGCAAGCGGGGCCCATGGATGACCGCTGGTAGTTAAGTGCTCAGAGTAGATAGTTGCTGCTTTTCCTTTCTCTCCTTCTTTCCCTTAGATTTTTCATGATAGCGAATACAATCGTACTTTTACGTTAGGGTCCTTATTACTTAGAAGATGTAGTCAAGGGTATGTTATGTCTCGACTGAACTATAAATCAACAAAAAGCCCGTCCATGAGATGATACACAAACAACACAGCAAAATCAAGATATGGATGGAAAACAAAGCAACTCATAAATCGTACATAGCAAAAGGTGTTAGGGACCAGATTCCTCCTATCCCTCAGGCTCAACCCGTCGAAGGCCCAAGGCTAGAACGCTTAATCTCAAATGATCGAGATCCCTCAATCAACCCATCAGAGAGTTTGGTCACAGCCACCCACGCCGGACTGAACTGTCTCACTTCGTCAAGAGCGGGGATGACGCCGATCCGGTTATTGTCGCTCCATAAGCAGGTGATGCGGCCCCTGATAGAGGACTCGTCAACTTCATTGGCCTCAGACGAGTCATGCTTTGAGAAATCGACATCGACGGTCCACTTGTTGTTCCAGGTACGACTCCACAGTTGGATCCGGTTCAAACCATCTGGGGACGGGTTTAAGAAGCGGTGATCTGGGGCTGAGGAGCCAATCACACTGAAGTTTGTGATATAGTTGCCGTCCAAGTTGATACGACAGTTACGTGTGCTTTGCCCTGATACTTCGAAGCGAACAGAGGAGCTGTCCGGTTGAGGGTGGGAAATGCTGAAGGAAATCCAGTCTGGCGACAGCTCAGAAGCCTCAAGCAGAGAGTCGGCACTGAGGACAACATGGGGTACTGGCGCATGCCAGGAGCATCGCTGGACTTCGTTTTTGCCTCGGAAAGTCCAATAACAGGTCTCATTTTGGCCTGCTGCACTGGGGAGCCCGTAGGTAACATCTTTTACAAACGGAGGCATTCCAGTAAGGGAAGCAACGGAGATCCCGTTGTCGAGGTCGACCTCCTGCACGAAGAAGAGCTTTAGGCGGTTGGAGTCTGCGAACGGGAAGGCGACAAGGTTGTAGATCATGGTTCCGATGAAAACAAAAAACAGGAAGATAGGCAGGTGGTATGTGTAGCGGTGAATAAATGGCAACATAGGCGCAAAGAGGAGTGTGGTAAGCATAGAAATGAAGAGATAGACAATCAGCTGGGGACTACCATCCTGACCGGTCTGGCTGAGAGCACTGGTAATCAGAAGACCCAGCGGCACGATCAGCATGAGGATTACGGGAGCTGTGATGAGCAGCTGCAACAGCCATGTCCACCGCGGCAACACGCCACTCCACCCCTGCTCGTGTTCATACACGTTCGGGTCCTTCTCTTCTTCCTCTTCGTCTAGTTCATGAGATGCACGCTCTGCTCCAACGCGGACGTAGTTGGCAAAGGTGGTGCGGTGTCGGCCATGTAAGAGCGATGTTGACTCAGTCGGGTCCTCTTCAACATCATCGTCATCATGGTTTTCATCGCCCGATGCAGCAAGCCGGCTTCCCTGGGTACTAGGCCGTCGAGATTCAGCTAATCTACCAGCGTACTCTGACTTCTTTGGAAGAGAGAACAACTCCAAATAGGAGATCCATGTGGCCAAAAAGGTACCGGCAAAGTAAAAGAACATGAAATAGCCACCAGCGAGCCCTTCCTCATGCTCATAAACGGTGCCGACTACCATGAGAGACCAGGTGAAAACAAACATCCAGGTCCAGGTATAGACTCGATGAAATGCTGATGGGCGTGCAAAGTCTGCGACGCGAGATACAAACCAAGCCAAGAAAATCCAAGCCGAGATCATCATACTCCATACGGCGTATGAACTGCTATGGGCGATAAGAGGATTGACTTTCGTCACCATGTAAGCCAATCCGACAGTCACCGCTGTAGGAATTGATATCAAAAACGGGAACCGGAAGAAACCACGCAAACCACGCAACGGGATGTTGTCGTCGTTGATCTCGGAATACACCGATGAGCGGAAGAGATACATCTTATCGGCCTTTGAAAGAATGACACTGGTGACAAGCAATGTCAATGGCGCCACAATCAGTAACGTGACAGACAACGCAAAGAGCGTGTGTAGCCGGAACACGGCAAAAGCACTCCCAAACAGATCGAACCAAACAGCCTGGGTACCTGAGCCGCTAGGCACGGTTCCATCGTCGGGGACATCTCCATCGAACCGATCAGTGGTATCAGACACAAGCTCCTCCGTCGTAGCAACAGCAGTAGAGAGCATATGCCAAAGCGAGTCAATACTGGTGTGTCGGGCATCATCCTGATCAGTATGATAACGAGCTCTAGGTTCAAAGAAAGCGACATCCAGACCGCGCAGGCCCAAGATACCGTTCAGAACAACATAATCCGTCTGACTGCTAACAAGACCCTTTTCGAACCCATTGGCACTCAACACCGAGCCGAATGGGTGCTGTGATTTCGCATACGCCTGAGTGACCTCCGTATCCGAGCTACGGAATAATGTAGCACGACCTCCAGCGCCCGCACCTTCCAGATTCAGGAATGTGTGCGCAAATCGCGCCATCGGATGCTGGCTGTATGCGCGTGCGCCGTTCAGATAGTCCTCCTCGCCATTGTTGAGGAGAACCACCAACCCACGACGCGGGGCATGGCCCGGTGTCAAGAAGTATTTCACCAATTGCAGACACGTCACAACACCAACCCCATCGTCTGTCGCTCCATACCCGGTCGAAACGCTGTCGTAATGCGCGTTGACAAGTACTCCTCCCTTGCCAACGGGCATTCGGCCGGGGGTCTCCCACCAATTCTCTTTCGTATCTTCCGAGCCACGAATGTAAACGAGTATATTAGTGCCTTCAAAGTAAACACCGACGCTTTTATCGATGAAAGTTAGGTTTGACACCATGTCGTCGAAAACAAAAACATCGGGCTTCTCCTCTTTCGCGTCGCGGTATTCCTCGGTGGATGGGGCGGCCTGCTTGATCGCGTCGATGCGTTCGAGTAACCACGAGCGAACCTCGTCATTCTGGTGCGAGTTATATGGGTGAAAGCCTTTTGTCAGGCTTTGGAGATCTTGCCATGCCTCTGTGAGGTTGAGGCCGTTGGGGCTCGTCTGGGGCGCGGGTGGGACGTTGTGGTGGATCACCAGCAATGGGATGATCAAAGTGAGGTACACTACCGTGGTGATGATTGTCACCGGCCACGGCGTAAACGCCAGAGGGTTTTTGGCCTTGTAGGTAGCCATACCCTATGCTGTTGGAGCTGAGATAGAATGGGTGGAGTGGAGGTTGAAGTTGGAGTCGAATTAAAGCAAATGCGGGGGTAGGTTGTAGTACCGTAAATACGCTAACTTGTAATATACATACATTCATGTACATTCTACATGTCTTGCAGCCTTGCAGCAAGTCCTACACAAACACAACTGCAGCTGAATGAAAGAGATGAGAATTGCTTAAATTCTATGCGATTACACATTGACGACAAAAAAATAATCCAAGTCCGTAAACGCTACCGTACTAATGCATTTCCCACAATAACACAGAATGAAGGATAAGGTGATCTGCGCTGATATGGGTAGAAATATGTCTGCCTGTTTGATCCAGCTAGGGATCACGAATAAAAGAAAACAGGGAAATGAATAAAAGGGAGAAATGCGAGTGCCTGAGCTTATTTTCGACTGCAAGGAAAGGGGTATCGTATCAAGTATTCATAGGCCCGACGTCGATGTAATCATCGTCTCCATCGTTGATAACAGTTGCGTTCATCAGCCCAGTCATCTGGCCCTCATCTTCGTCCAGTTCTTCGTCGTCATCGTACATCGTGGCTTCGGCTCCTTCTTGGAATGGTGGTTCATTTCGGTTCAAGTGCTCCCGGAGTCGATTGACACCATCACCGCTGAACACACAGAAGACATCCCGTTGTTGTTGCGTGAACTCTGGGGGAGCTTCTCGGCAGAATGCGGTGAGATTCTCTCGCAGGAACGCTTGGACGCCGGTCAAACTCAAATGAGTCAGGCGTGGACAGCTATTCAGCAAAGCGTGGATACCCTAAGCCATAATGTCAGTATTGCATATTTTGTACATCAGGTTCTTCGACCGAGACTCACTTTCATTCCCAACTGAACGCAATAGCTCAGGTGAACACGCTCTAAACTGCTGATGGAAGGATGATGGCCCATCTTGGGCCGTGCCAACGCTAATATACTCTGATCGGTGATGGCCTGACATTTGACTAGCCCGATTCTTCGGAGCTTCGGCAAAGTTGCCAATTGTTGTACACTGCGGTCCGTTAGGAGGTTGCAGCAGGCCAGATCGATGTATCGAATACGGTTGCAGGACTTGATCAGGCTTATCACGGCCGAGTCTGAGATGTTCGAACAGTGACCCAGGTGCACATAGTGGAGGTTCTTTCCTAGCCTGCAAATGGCAATCACAGCTCGATCTGTGATAAATCGGCATTTGGCCAGGACCAGATTCCGCAAACGAGGAGCTGCACGCACGATTCGCTCCACTGAATCATCCCTGACATTCTCGCATGCAGTGAGATCAAGGATGCGAAGACTGTCGAAGGTCATTTGAGGAGATAACGACATGAACGCACTATCGTCGATTTCAGTGCAATGTGCGAGCCGCAGTTCTCGGAGATGCCGCAGTGTCGTGAGCAACGGGGTCACTGATGTGCTAGTGACAAGTTTGCAGTCATGTAAATCGATCTCTAGTATAGACGGGCAGTTCTCAGCAAAGGACTGAATGGCCCGGTCTGAGACATTGGAAACTCCGTTGAGTTTCAACTATCATAGAATTAGCGCTTGCATTCCACCCAAAACCCCGCATATAATCCACATACCCTTTTGATTTGACGGCACTTTTGTGATACAATGAGTAAAGCGTCGTCGGTGACTTTTGAACATCCTGTGATGTTCAGACCTTGCAGGCGAGGGCAGTCCCTGGATACCGTGGCGAGCGTGTGGTCTGTGAGATGTCGCAATTCTGAAACATCCAAAGCCTGCAGATGCCGGTTCCCCTCCACCAAATCTGAGACCCCCTTATCCGTCAAGTTCTTGCAGCTTGTCAATGTCAGCCGCTCAATCCTCTTGCACTGGTTGAAAGAGAGGATAGTTCCATCGTTGACACCATCTGACAGAGCTGATAGATTCAGTCTTTTGATAAGGTCTGCGTAGTTGAAAAGGCTGTCCGGTTTTCCCAACGACGTAGTCACGCTTCTCACATTGGCCCAGGTGTTGCAAGTCGGTCTATGCCACAGTATCCCTACAGAGTTCGCAGCCCATCCACGACACACCAGCATGGAATTAAGCATATCTATGGGCGCAACCAATTTCGAGAAAATCGCGATCAGAATCTCGGGTGGGAGGCGGCCGATCGGTGGCAGTGGCTCGGATGGTTCACTTGACAAACGAGAGTCGCGGAAGTTGGCCACACCGATAGAGGATTGCGAGTCGTTGGCCTGGGCCATGAAGAAATCGGTGTCATCATCGGCGGCACGTTCGGGTGACGTCGATCCAGAGGTTTCGGAAGGGGCTGCACTTGAGCTTCGACCGGCTTCTCGTGATCGATGCATCCTAGTCGGTGTAGATTCGCTCTTCGAAGTTCGTTTCAATATATTTTTCGGGTGTCGGTATGGTTGAAATCTCATAACTTCAAGGAAATCTGCATGGGCGGTGCATGTGAGACTGGAACAGGCAAGTCCGGTCCACACCAGGCAGTATTTGACCAGTGAACAGTCCTAAGACTTTTTTTTGTCTGAAGACTGGTAGATGAATGCTATTTTCGGGAAATATCTGCAACGAGATGGGTGCACGAGGGATGTAAGCGTGGTTTCGCGGCGTGTATTTGGATGGCAAGGGAGAGGCAGACAAGGGAAGATCGTTCAGAATGAAGATGAACAAATCTAGATCATGATCCCAAGCACCCCTTGGGTCAGATGCAAATGCGTAACCAGGAAATTCAATGCAAGTAAATGTGAAGGGATAAAAGCGGCAATGGAGGGGGAGATGAGGCAATGGGGCCGGGTTTCACAGTGCTGCGGAGTCAGTGCCAAGCACTTGCTTATCATTTGATAAGATGGTAGATGCTCTGCAGATTATATAGCACCTTTTTGTTATGTATGAAACTTGGATGTAAACCCTTTCTAGAGAAAATGAGGATTAAGCTGCCTTACTGAACCAGATCGTGAAGGCAAAAGAAGTATTCAAGATCACTTGATGTAACCTCGTGCTTGATCTACAATGGATCTACCAATGCGGGAGTACCGGATATCTAACTCCATTAAAATGTAAGAAAGCGTTACTTTCTTCCAGAGTCTCTGTCACATAAATTCAAAGTGATCTAATCATCCTAGTTAGAAATACATCTATCTCAGTGATCATCATTGTCTAAGCTTCTCTCGAACCCTTCACCCAATCATGCAAGATATTCTTCCGGATTTTGCCAGTGCTGGTCTTGGGTAGTTCAATAACTACTTCCACTTCCCGAGGAATCATAAACTTGCTGATTCCGCTAACATTTCGAGCCCAGTCAATCACATCTGAGCCTTGTAAGCTCTTGCCTTCTTTCACTGTAACAAAGGCTTTGGGGCGTTCGCCCCAATGGGAGTCAGGAACAGAAACGACACCAGCCTCCAAAATATCAGGATGCATGGCTAGCATAGACTCAAGCGCAACAGAGGAAATATTTTCACCGCCTAATTATTATTAGCAATCTAGTTTCTTAGTAGTTGGGTCACTCGCCGCACGTACCGCTGATGATGATATCCTTTGCACGATCAAGAATCTGAATTGCACCATCGGGATGCCAGACAGCCAAGTCTCCGGAGTGCAAAACACCTCCCGCAAATAGTTTCCGAGTTGCCTCGGGGTCCTTGTAGTATCCTCGGGCACAGATATTTCCAACAAAAACAATCTCACCGATTTCCTGGCCATCCTTGCGAACATCGACGATTGTCCCTTCAGGCACTTCGGTCTTGATGATCCGAGCTGGAAGGCTTGTGATAAAGCCGTGGCCTTGGCGGGCCATCATCTGGTATTTCTCCTTGAGAGGAAGCGCGTCCCATTCTGGCAAATAGTAGCCTTTGGTAATCGGGCCGTATGTCTCCGTCATTCCATAAACATGGACAGGATGCAAGTTTAGGTTGGACATCTGTTCGAAGAGATGGGGCGTAGGCGGGCTTGCTGCCACTGTGACACGGACAGCCTCGGGCAGTCTCTCTGCTTCCTTCGCATTGCATAACAAGGTGTTCACAGTTGGTGCAGCATTGAAATGAGTGATATGTTCCTCTTTCAGCAATCTCCAGATTTCGGGGTAGTCTATCTTGCGTAGGCAATAATGGGTTCCACGAACAGCTGTCACTGCCCATGGAAACGTCCAGCCTATTTGTATAAATACATATGATACGTTAGTCATGTACATCGATTTCAGATCACTCAAGTGTAGAAGATGTACGAACCCATAGCGTGAAACATGGGTAGCGTCCATAGATAACGGGCACGTTCACGGTGGTAATTCAGGCCACTTTCAATGAGGTTTCCCAATGTTGCCAGATAACAGCCCCGATGAGTGAACTCAACGCCCTTGGGACGGGCTGTAGTCCCGCTGGTATATGCCAACGCAATTGTGGAATCTTCATCAGCAGCTTGACTCTCGAGCCCTTCCCAACCCTTAGAACATGTATCGATGTCGTACCTGAGGCCTTCCAAAACAGCCTCATCGAAGGGACCTGTGAGCTCACCCTCTGTCGCATCAGTGTCGGTATCTACGATAATAGGGGTGTTGGGGCACTGGGATCGATAGTTCTCCAGAAGTGGAATAAATTCCTTGTCAACGATGATCACGTCTGCATCACCATGATCAAATATATAAGCAATGTCATCAGGTTTAAGGCGATAGTTGACAGCTGTAGATATGTTAGTTTAATGGATATCTCTCCTCAGAAGACAATTGAGTTACCAATGTTGACAGCACCAGCTGCAGCGATTCCAAAAATTGACTCGAGGAATGCTGGGGTATTCGGGCAGAGAATACCCACTCTACCGAACCCGCGTTTTTTGAGGTAGTACGCCAACCCCCTTGCTCGGTCTGCAGTTTCGCCGTAGCCCCTGCGAAGGATCTTGTTGTTGGCAGTTACATGATAGATTGCCTCAGCCTGTGTAATTGTTTGTCAGACTATTGAATTAATACATAGGTGACACTTGCAATGAGTTCACATTAGGTTCAATGGCAGCAGCACGAGGAAGAAAGAAAGTCGGGGATAACGTATGGGTATCAACACGGTGTTCAGACGGCGGCGTTGAACCTGTAAGATGACCAAGTAGGCCAGATAACCGAGACTTCGAACCAGACATGCTAAACTGGGAGTGTAGATGTAGAAAAACGTGTGTGTTGGACAGCAGATATATATTAATGTTGGAAAATGAAGAGGTAGTGAATTGGTGAGAAATGAAATACTCCAAGTTGGAGAAAATGCGGGGATGGGGATACCGACACTAACCTAGGGAGCGGCCGGGGGCCTCGGGTACGAGCTCTAGGGGTTATCCGGACTAAGGGATTGAATAGGTATGACCTCCAGGACTCAATTTCGGGGATGCTTGGTCTACGGCTATACTCGCTTCAATGGACTATCATGGATTGGTCCGTTATAGTGTGGGGACAAGACCGGTGGGTACGGAGCCGGAATCATATTGAAATTTGAGTGGATGGCATTTGACTTGTTCATATTATGCTATACTCGGTACTCCGTACAAAGTACAATGGATATGTATACTCAGGGGAGTGTGGAGATATAGGATATGTGCATGTGAATAGTCGTAAGTTACTAGTACAGGGGAAATCAAGTGGATTACCAAGTTTAAATAATAAAAAACGTATAGGTCAAAGTATTTTTTGATCATAAGAATCATGTTGAACTCTTGAAAATTGTTTCTTTGGATTAAACCGCCACGGCGCGAGTCAACGGCCAGCTATTTTGAACCTTTAATCCCAATCGACTCCGTTTTTTCGACTTTTGGAAAACTTCGAAGACCCCAGTCCCCGAGCCGTCATGTGCGTCACAGACAGTGGTATTCATGAGTTAGGGAACCGGGCCGCAGAGAAAGGTCGGTCGGCTTGCCGTTCAAATTCGCTGAAAGAAAACCGTCCGCGATTCCATCCCAGAACCATCGCTCGACACAACAACCAGCCGCGCTAAAGGTATCTAGTAGCCAAACTGAGCAAGCTGGGTCTTGGTCTTGCTGTCCACATTCGCTCCCTGCTCGGCCTTGGCAAGGACACGACGAGCGGCCTTCTTGCGCTCGTAGTAAGCCTTGCTCTTGACCTTTCGGCGCTCCTCGAGTCTGTGAAATGAGTTAGAATTTGTTGATTGACCCAATAAATCACACTTGGGTGATAAATTAGAGATTGTACATACCTGGACACAACATCCTGGTACTTCCAGCCAACCTCGTGGCTGAGACGGCCAACGGTGCAGTACTTGCGGCCGGGGCGCAGACGCAGGACACGGAGAGCCTGGGGAACAACGACACGCTTCTTCTTGTCGTAGGGAGGGGGAACACCCTCGAAGACCTTAAGGCGCTCGAGAGCAGCGGCACCACGGGCGGTCTTGTGGGGCATCATACCGCGGATGGCCTTGTAGAGGATACGGGAAGGAGCGCGGAAGTGGAAGGGACCACCACGGGTGGGGTTGAAACGAGTCATCTTGCGAAGGTAGGCGTGGTACTTGACTGTGTGGCGGCATTTCGAGTCAGCTTTCTGATATCCCAAGTTGTAGTGCATTTCCTCCAAAAATTGGCCAAACTGTCTTCAACTGCCAGTGTTTTCGATTTGCCGGTGTTGTCGATCGTTCCTTTCCTCCCCCACTGATTCACACAGTTCCCAATATCACACAGAACGCAAAGGAAATATTCGAAAGGGGTTGAACGTACGCTTCGCGCGGAAGAACTCGCCGGAGATGTTGAGGGCCTCACATCTCACGACGACGATCTTCTGACCGTTGAGCAGCTGCTTGGCGACAGTGCTGGCCAGACGACCGAGGAGGTGTCCTTTGCCGTCGATGACGACCTATTTCCAAACGATTAAGTCAGTGACAGATTCGATATGGACAATTTGGATGCGAGAGTTGCGGCACTCAAGTCGTTGGGTATATAAACGCACCACTGATTCGAAGGAGGACATCCTGTGATCTAATGTCCCGTGGGATGGATGTTGTCGGCGGTTGTTGTCGTGGGTGTCAAGTCGACGCACACAACGAAGTCGGATGGCTCGATGAGAATAGGCTAAGCGAGGGTCCGCTCACTTTGTGTTAATGGCGAGGGTCGCAGCCCTAAGTCTGACCAATCATGTTACACTAAAACCACGTGATACATCTCTCCTAGCCCCGCTCAGTATTGTATTATGTAATACTTTTATTTCTCACTGTGCGCCATAGCAGTTCTCCTTTCTTTGTGCCGTTAGGGCATTGACTTAGGGCTGATATACCCTGTTCTAGAAGTAAGATCGATTGATGATCTTGACGAGTTTTGAAACAAGCCCTGGGTTGAAGGCTTCGTATAATAATATTCGGTACAAACTGTTCACATTTTCCTAATGTAACTAGGAACCTTTTTCACTTCCATGTAAACCTGTTTCTTATTGTAAACAAGTCTGTCTTATCGTCTTAGATGTTCACTGATTGCTAGATCTATGATCTAGGCAACTTCAGGTGGAAACATTGGGTCCGATGACTAATATATCCCATGAACCTAAGGTTCACCGGGGCAGACTGAGGCCAATTGTTTTTCTTCTTAAAAGGAACTTCCTTCTCACAGAAATACCCAAGGCCAACAAGACTTCCCACTGGACCTTACGTCCCATTCATCCTATTCGCTTGCAACCCCACCATATACCAACGATCCAACTTGATTTTCCTTCGATATTACACTCTCCCTGCTCGAATCATGCGACGAAAGACGCGTTTTGTTTGCGTCTCTGATACACATGGATATACACCCTCTGAAGCGGGCTTCAAACTCCCAGCAGGGGATGTCCTCATTCATGCCGGCGATTTGACAAACAATGGAAGCCTAAAAGAGCTCCGCAAGACAATGAATTGGATCTGCAAGGCCGACTTTGAAATCAAAATCATAGTTGGCGGTCAGTCCTTCAACTTGTTCACGCGCCCGATTCACACTTGATTTATCCCCGGCATTAATTGAAGTTATATTTTGGCTGCTCCCCAAAATGCATCATTTCATTAGCAGGAAAGAGTCGGCACAGCTCCTAACCTTTTTGAACAGGCAACCACGATATCACCTTGGATCCAAAATTCTACAAAGAGCATGGACGAAGCTTTCACGGTCAGCACCTCGAAGATACACATCACTGCCTGAAACTCATCACAGAGTCGCCTTCGGTCGTCCTACTTCGCCATGAGCCTGCCTTGATTCGCTTGACGCGAGCAGATGGACCAAACACGGTATTTAAAATTTTTGGGTCCCCGTACTCTCAATCCCAGGGAAGCTGGGCATTTGGATACGAAGCAAGTGATGCTGCTGCGCTGTGGGGTCAGATACCAATAGACACAGACATCATCGTCACGCATACGCCACCACAATCCCACTGCGACCAGAAACCGAACAGAATGGCCGTTGGGTGTCCTGCACTTCGTAGTGCATTGAGCCTCATTAGGCCTCACTTAGCTGTTTGTGGCTATGTGCATGAAGGACGAGGGTACGAACTCGTTCGCTGGCGAGGCGATCTTACCAAGACAAAAACCGAAGCAGGAACACAACCAGAATATGATTCAGTTGACCATGTCACTCGGGGCCTTCTGCCACCCGTGGGCAGCAAAAAACAGAGCCTAGTCGATTTGACTGGCAAACGGGATAAACGATTAGACAACGAGGGATTTTCGCACTTCGGGCAAAGACAGCATGATCTGACGGAGACTCAACCAATGCCATCAGCCTCGCCGAGGTCAGAGTCATCTGCTAGAGTCTCTGGAAAATCAAGTCCACGAAACTCGCCGAGTGCTTATCCGCCCCTGGGCGCGGGTAGCCATGGCTGCAGTAGCCAGGGTGTTGATTACACTTTGCAAACACTAAGAAAGGAGACCTGCGTTATCAACGCCGCTGTCGTATCCACTAGCTGGCCGCACCAGGGGGGCAAACGGTTCAATTGGCCGATTTTGGTCGATCTTGAACTTCCCGTGTGGCGGAACGACCACGCGGTCGCGAACGGATGAATGTGTTTTCCCGTGGAATGAAACAATCTTCGGAAATTGCATTTTAGATTGGCCCCATTGATCTAAACGGCAATCTTCCCTTTGCTTTGGCCATGCATGGTGGCTTGACGCCAGATTTACCTCCTTCCTGGGACATATAGTGACCTTGTGGGCTTTGGCCCTGTTGAGACCAGTCGTTGGACGCCTTGATGCTTCATGATTTTTTAACATTGGTCGCCTAGTTACTTGATGCACTATCCTGGTGCTGTCAGACTGTCTACGCTTAGATCATTTGTTGAAATTTGCGCCGCATTGGCCTCGGGGGAGTGGTAGGTGAGCCACTCAAACTGCTAGAGCCCGGGGATATGCTCCATACTTGGTACCGTAGGGATACTTGTAACAGATTCTAATATTCACCCAGATTAATAAAAAGAAGAAAAGAAGAAATTTATCACGATTCGCTCTCCCACTCTCAAACTGTACAAACACCGGGCTTACCCCTCTTGTCTCATATATTACCCCGCATGCAATGTACAGACCCATCTGACCGATCGCAATCACATCAAGCCATACGCGCCTGTGATATCACAACTTGAGCTCTTGATTCTCATCACCGTAAGTTCCGAGGCCGTACGATTTACACAAGTCATCTGCAACGGGGATCTCCCCCAAACTCAAATATTCCAGCAACCGCAGCGCTTCCAAACGACCTGTTAGTGGATGGAGTCTGGGCCGCAAAGCAAGAGCGCAAAAACTTGAGCCAACCAATTCATGGCTCCTCCCACCCTCTCCTTGATACCTGATGTGACCATGTGCGGTCGATCATGTTTTAATCATGGGAGGTTTGGGGTTTGTGTTTGTGTTTGGTTCTTCAGCAGGGATTTGTGACTGGAACGCACTCTCACACACACCATCCTCGTGGGAAACACGCTTTTCGCAAGGGTTGCTCTTAGTCTAGCACACTTTTTTCTAGAAGGCGCTTAGTGGCTGAGCAAAGAGGTCTGGCCACACTATGTACTCTCTACTTCGTACAACATAAGTACTAGGTAATAGCCGAGAGTATCATTGCATAGAAAGGTAGTACTATACATCAAATTGCAGGATGCATTGCATCTGCATTTCTGTTTCCCGGGTAGCAACCTGCAACCGCTTGGAGCCGGCCATGGCATATGTAGTCCATTTTAGTACGGAGTACATAACCTACATCTATCGCCAATTTTTGCTTATCTCTGGCTACCTGACCTGCTTCAAATTTTCGGTGTTACTATTAGTCTAACTATACTACAAACACACCCTTCCTCTTCTGACTGCTAACGTCCAATCCTGAATCCACCGACCCCAGTCTTAGCGGGGCTGCGTGACTGTCAGGGAAGAGGGGTACCTGTAGACCACGGCTTAAACGACTAAGGTTACGACTCTGTGTTTCAGAAGGAAAATTTTGTGTGACCTTACGATCACCGCTGATGGGATCGGAGGATTATGGATTTGGCTGGTGCAGTCGGGTTGGAAAGAACAAGAGATGGTGGTCTGGTGCTATCTTTTGCCTGCCTGGGGATAAATCAACTACCCCCAGACCGAGAAAAAGTATGCTACAATCACTATCACACAGGGAAAAAAAAAAAGTCAAATGGCAGAGTCAGAGAGAGCAAAGAATGAGGCTATTGATGTACAAAATTTGAGGCGAAAATCCGAATGGGTCGTGAGTTGTTCCCACCTCGAGATATAGGACATCTTAACACTACAAAGTAATAGAAAGATACATGGATGACATTCTTAGCAAATTTGAGATCAGTTAGGCAGCTGGATAAGTAGTTAGTTATTTAGTGAATAGCAATATATTAACTAGTAATACGGAGGTTAACTAGTTAAGATAGTTAACTAACTAAGAATAACTAGTTATAACTAGTCAGTTACCTAGGTATGTTGTAGCAATGCTGACACAGCGTTAACTCGCTCGGCATTTGCATTTTTTCAATAAACTTGTCATGATCGGGGCTGGCACACGCATCAGCTCCGTTCAGCACTGGTCTGGATAACTCCTGCGCCTCACGGACCGCAGTACCGGGTCCAGATGACTTGAGACAAGTGGCCGGACCGTCCGAGACAGAAGTAGTATGGAGTACAACATAGTTTCATCAAAAAAAAAATTCTACCAATTGTCTCATAGTCTATGGAGTATATAGTAATGGTTGGAAGATAGGTAGTCTCGGGTGGGGGTGTTTAGCAAAGACACGTTGTATGCCCAGGTGTGGCACAAGTACCAGCTGTACCAGATGTTTTAGCCTAGGATTGGGTGCGCATCAATGCCTGAACCACCTACGGAGCAATGTACTTCGTGTTCCGTAGGACCTAGTGGTTTCGAGTGATAATAATGTTAGAGGGCTGCATTCCCATTGAATTAAGAATGAAAATGAAATATCGGATATTGAAACATGATCCGATAACTATATATAGAACACATGCACATTCTTCAGAGAAGCAGCCTTGGGGAAATTTAAGGCCCATGGAACCTCTCGGGAAGACGGGGAACATTACAGGAGTACCATGGGACAAGTCAGGCACTAATTCTAAGGCTTTGTTGACTTCGTACCTAGGTAATAATGTATAGAATTACAATACAGGGTACAGCACCCAATTAAACATTCCAGGTTAAACAAGCTCGTTGAATATGAATGGTTAGAGTGTATGCCTTGGGACAGGGCGAAAGAAAAAGAAAAAGAAAAAGAAGAAGAAAGTACGGAGTACGGAGTACTGTAGGTAGTGAGGCGACCACCTAAAAGGGCCCAAAAAAAGACCGCAGGCACTGATTAAAAGAAAGTTGGGGGAGACTCCATACATATGCAGGAGAAACTGAATTGAGTAAAGAAGGAAATATGAGCGTCATAACGATTTCAAGAGAGGGGGGGAAGACCCGATCCCCTTGGAAATCAAATGGGAGGGATCATGGTCCTCGTGTTGATTGATCGCCCCACTGTAGGCCAAATGCTCGGGCGAGGCTTGATTGGCAGGAACTTCAACAAATCAAATGAAGTGCTCAGGCCAATAAATGACCGGTGAATATGAGCCCTGGGGAAGAGAAAAGATTTTAATGACTATTTAGAGGAAGTAAGATATTAAGTTGGGCTGGATTTGAAGTCTTTGAACGTCTCAATAAGATCTTGTATATTTTCTATGTCGATGTGACTTTATATGTCTCGATATTACACATTAAATTTCAGATCTTCTTTTCGTGGCGCAGTCATTTTTCTTCGCCCCCTGACATTCGGTTGGCTCGGAGTCTGCGAAGGGACGGGTAACTCTGACATCTGATTCATTGTCCCATCTGAGGTCTTTCTGAAGCGTTTTTTATTTTGTCTTTGGTCAAATTTTCACGGGAAATCGGCCATATGCTTGATGATTCCTCTTAATTCTTTCTGCATTGCAAATCATCTCCAGTTCATTCTGGATCGGTGTGGAATCTTTGCTACGTCAACGGGTTGTTGACATTCCATATCTCCACCGCCTCTTTCTTCCCCCTCCTCTTACTTTCATCTTCTTTCATCCCATTCAATTCAGGGCATTGAAATCAAACACTACCCACAATGACCTCAGCACCAGACATAGACCCATATGCAGTCCTTGGTGTCGCCAAGGATGCCACCATCTCTGAAATCAGGGCTGCCCACCGAAAGCGGGTTCTCAAATGCCATCCGGACAAGGTCCAAGATGAGTCGCAGCGGATTGCTGCTCAAGATGAATTCCAGAAAGTCCAACAAGCTTATGAACTGCTCTCGGACGATGTTCGACGGACTAAACATGACCAAAAAGTCAAGATAGCCGAGCTACTGGAACGCAGACGAACAGACTCTATCGCCAACTCTCCGCGAGGAAGTGGATCCGCCACTCGCGAATTCCGCAATGGCCACTTCATGGAGGAGAGGGTCCCGATTGAAGTCTACTTTGAGGAGAAATGCCGATTTACAGAAGAACCACCCTCCATGTCGTCTCGCAAATGCGATGAGTATGAGTACGGCGTGCGCTCAAAGACTAAGCCGACAGAGGAGAAGAAGAAGGTTCGAACACCGATGAGCCCGCACCACCAAGCGAAAGAACAGCGGGAGGCGGTCAAGGCGACGCATTCCGACCGTAAGAAGGTGCGCGAACAGGAGCGACGACGACAAGCCGAGGTAAAGCGTGATGATACCTTCGGATCTTTTGTAGGATCCGACGAGGATGCATCTGATTCCAGTGTTCCCCACTATTCTTATACGAGACGAACTTCGACAACGCCCCACCGAGAGCGTGATTCACGATCCCGACCATCGGACTCCTCTCGCCGCCGTGATCGTCGCTACGACGAGGATGACGATGTGTCCGATCACTGGAGATCCAAGATTGATAGTCAGTACGTCAATGCAGAGGATTACATTGCATCCAAAGCCAAAGGCCGAAGTTCCAAGTCCCCACGAGAGTATCATGGTCATGACTCGGCGGAACTAGAATCGTCTGCTTCGCGATCCGCGGAACGGTCCACTCGCACCCGCCGTCGTTCTTCGTCGCGCGACGATTCCTACGAGCACCTGGATTCGTCCCGAAGCTACGATGTCAAGCCACCCAAGATGCAACCCTCCACGACCACCCCTGGTATCAAGGCGTCTCTTCGTCCTTTGTTCCTCAACACCCGCTCTGCAACCGTTCCAGGCCTTGTCCGCCCAAAGTTAAAGCGGGAGAGTCGCGAGCCAACACTCCACGAAATGGCCCACGAGCCACTACCATCGCGAAGTTCCAGAATGCGCGATCGCACCGACTCGGGCTACTCCAGTCCCAGTACTCCTGAAATGCTCCAGAGAGGCTCTTCTCCAAAGACCTCAACCCGCTACAAGGTGTACAAAGAACCAGACCACATCGTTGTAGAACCAAAGCTACCAAAGTATCGCTCGGCAAGATCTCCTGATCGAGATCGCATATCGCCTATACGGCCGACACCCAAGCGAAGCAATACCTACCAATACACCGCTGAAGTCTCGCCTCGCGTTGAGACTCGCTCTGCGCGCCCTTCTGTGCGCTCTCATCCGGACGTCGAATACATTGCCCGTCCGAAAGAGAAGGACATCCAGTACGGCAGAACATACAAGGAAGAAGATGTCAGTTACTCGCCGAGACGTGCCCATTATCATTACATGCAGGAAGAGGATTATCCTCCTGCTGTGGGGAGACGCCAGTCTCAGACTGCCTACTAATTCAACCATGAAACCCATGAAATACGATCACATACGACAACTCACGCCTACAATATGCTTTGCATTTTACGTTTAACATGATCATTTTTTTTCGATCTCATTAAGGAGTCGGTGGGCAATTCTCCGCTTTTCGCATATACGTCTATCCCGAGCTTCGGGATGTTTTTTTTTGTTTTTTTTTGGGGGGGGGCGGGGGGTGCAACTTTGATTTCCATTGGTGTCACCTGCTCTTTTCTCTCGGCTGCACGGGGATAAGCAGACCAGGACCGGGGTGTATCTTTGTTAATGCCGTTGGCGCATTATGGCGGGTATGGGTGTGGATGGTGTGTTGCATCTATCTTGCCTCAAATCCTGCACTTGTGGCGTATGAAATTGTTTTGTCAGGTTCTGTTTACTACTGACTACGGTTTTATTTCTCAGTGTCTTTTGTCTTTACGTTTTTTTCTTTTTTTTTTCTTGTCTTCTTTTTTTACGCTCCTCCCGGGCTATTTCTAGATACTCTGTGGACTATTTTGTTGGGAAAATCCTATTAACGAATAACGCTTTTCATATGATGATATGTCATAACTTTGATCCTCGGTTGGTTTCTTTGTTTACTCTGTCTTTCTTTCGCGTTGTAAGACGGATATGTTGGTTGGGTTGGGTTGGGTTGGGCTGGAATGGGCCACGGAAAGTGGCAGAGAAAGCCTTATAAGTTTGTGTATGGTGATTGGATTTTCTAAGAATAGACTGTTGATGTATTAAAGAAAATTTCTTCGATCGATGCAACCTTGAGAATGTTTTAAAACACTGTAACTACTGCTACTGAGCTGTTATATTATTGGGGGCTGTTAAGCCTCGTTGGACTGTCAAAGGTCGAAGCTCGATGAATTTGATTGTCGTTTCCTCCCCTTAGAAACCAACCAACTTAATGAAAGAAACTTTCATTATGATCATCACTGGCCGTTCAAGAGTCAATAGTCCGACACGTGTTTGTAGGAAAACTTTTATTTAACCCAACGTGGTTCCAAGATTGACCTGGATAGAGGAGGATGGGCCCCCACACTAGATGCGACCTGCTCAAAAGAGAGATGTAGTATTCCGGTGAGCCTATCGAGGAAGATGACGACAATTAAGTGGGTAGTTGAGATCTAGCGCACCTATCAAGGGATAATGGCGAGGTGTAATGACGACAAGGCTTTAGATATCTCATCGCCTAGGCATATGATTCACGCAATTTCTGCTCTCGGTTGTTTGAACTAGGTGTTTATTTGATATCTCAATTCTCTAAATATAGTAGACTAAATTTTAGGCATACTGGTGCATTTTATTACTGTTAGACTGTCTTCGCCACGACATAACTCGACTTGCAATGACAAGTTCTGCAGGATAGGAGATTAGATCGCTCCCAAAGCCCAGGCCACCGCAAGTAATTGGGCTGTCTGTGTTGCATGTTTGTATTTTTAAGATCATAAGTTCCCGGAATACTAAGTAATTGATGTATGTTGTCTAGCCATACTACTGGCCAACACTGAATTTGGCTGGAACAGAATCCCACGGAAGCATTTACATGGATGGCAGTAGAATTCTCTAAGTATCCGACTTTGTCAAGTTTTCCAGGTGGGTTTTTACAAATAGAGTACTTTCTATCTGTTTCCACAGGGGTCTTCTATGGGTTGATGACAAGTCATACAGTTCAGGCCTAATAATATACCCCCATCATCTTGTAACTTCACGGGTTATCACTTCTGGTTGTTCCTATATCCCTTGCTTGCGAACAGACTGAGCGTTTGTTTGTTAGGTCCAGGGTATAGGTACCCTGGTTTCCATACATGAAATATATCATGGTTTCTTCTTCTCCTTCCCCGATTTCTTAGCAGCAGTAGCCACAACACTCGGAATACTAACCGTCATATCACTACTTTTATACTTCGCTCTATATTCGAAAGTATAAATTTTTCTCAATAATTTCGTCATCTGGTTCCTTGTCGCAAACTATACAACCTTGTAACATTGGTGGTAACAATTACCTTTACTCTTCCTTATGGAAAGCATGCTTCACACTTGGGCGCTATAAGGCAACTTTTGTCACAATAGAAAGAGGTGTAATAAATAGCCCGACATCCGAGGATTTTTGGGGGGCAGATTAGCTTTAGCTTTGTTTACGTAGCTTGAATACTCTGGTATAAATAACATTATACAGTTTCTTCTCATGCTTGTCGAAAGCAAGCCTTGTGGGATGGGACTGACGAACGCAGTTTAATGTCGTAACACTGCTGAGTATTTGTATTAAAGAGGCAGATAATCTAGGACCCGTTAGAATCAGGAAAGGGTAAGCATGGAGCCCGTGATGGACAAATAAATGGATGTGTCCCACAAGAACTGGCCATAAAATGTCTTGTTCCATGTCCTACTGCTGTGATCCATCCATGGATGTGTGAACGCATATGTAATGGCGCATGTAGACTTCGGGTTTCTAGAAGGGATAAACCTATGGTCCCCCGAGTTGACAGACTCCAGGGTTACGCACGGACATACGCCACGACTGTGGGTTCGACGGGTATCTGCAGATCCCCCGCAATTTCGGGGTACCGTCGATGCGACTCTCCACCTCGGAATGAACCTTGGAATATCGAATTAGAACCCATCTTAGACGCTAGATAGCGGTCCCACATGAGAGAAGACATTCCATCCGTAGACACGGCGTACTTAGGTTGAGTTACTGGAGACAGTATCAGCCCTATATATTTTCTCGCTTGTACCGAAGTACATTTTTTTAAGGGATTTGATCCTGCACATAAGTTGTAAAGTACAGTGAAAGTAAACGAAAGGGGAAGGTAGGCTGTAAGTTGAAGAGGGAAAGAGCAAAAAAGGAAATTGGGTGGTTTGTTTATAGGTCATTAAAGAAGCTCGACCTAGAGAAGGCACGACCTGGGGTTATCATAACCTTGAAGGTCTCATTGATTTCTTAAAATACAAAGGACTTAAAGCTATTCTTTACTCCATTCTCGTGATTTTTTTTTTCCATGAGTGATTTGGCTTAATTTGGCTTGGTTTAACTGTTGAATTGATTTCCCTTGGGTTGAGTACATTCAACGCAGACAGAATTCCCCTTGGCGCGTCTTAACAGTGGCTTGAATGATTGCCACAGATCTCCTAATTTCTATATTAGCCTCGAATTCCCCGCGTATCTGATGATTGGTTCTTCTGGTGTCGAGTGGCCTTGGCCAAATCCTCTTTCTCCATATCAGAGCCGTTAGAGACCCCCCCTCGAGCTTGATCCCTGTTTCCCGTCTTTCTAGTATGCTTTGCGGGAACACTCACCAACGCCTGGGTAGGTCCAGATTTTGTTCTATTTTGGCGCAATAAACAACCGGGTACCGAATATGGACTTCAAGGCTCGACCCGCCACTATTCCAGCATCTCTCTAGATATCTCCAAGTTTGTTACCAACCTGGTAGTATTTTCTTACAATTTTGCCCTTGTAGGCAGGCATTAAGATGCTCAACCTTTTTTCATGAATTGAAGTAAACCCCAGCTTCAAAATATTTATTATCACTCCTGTTGCGCACGGGTGGCTCTTCGCTCATTGTATTCGACACTGACGGAGCATTTCCAAAGATTGCAACTACTTGATTCCACGTCACTCGCTGGCTTTGGGGATGCAAACGCCCCACTGGAAGCTACTATAGGATAGGTTTCGTTTCGTGACATGCGTGTTCGCAATAGAAGAGCAAAGTGTCCACGATCTAATTATAGGTGCCAATCAGATTTCCCCAGGACTCACTTACATGATGTTTGATACACCATGCGAAAAGTACCACAAAGTTTTACCAGGCACTGAACAAAGTGATATACAGCACATCGGTCTCCTTATACACCATGATCATCTCTGATACTACTCATGACCCCACCAAAGATACATTCTGGACCACGTCATCACTTGATTTCACTAAATATATATCATCTAACTTCTCTATTTCGGGCTACCCCATTTCTTTGTCGTATGTGCCTAAAGCCCAGAAGATGTGAGCAATAGGAGCTACATTTGAACCTCATTATGAACGACTAAATACTCATTCAACGTAATAATTTGAGACAAATTAACCAAATCGGGCGTACTGCTGAATAAAGCTGCTTTGGCTGAAGTGCCATGGTAGACTAATCTGCCACCGGTGGCATTTTCTTATATAACAATTCTTTTAGATATTGGTAGCCTCAGCTTCACGTCCTACATTTCGAGGTAACAAGTTAACAACAAGAATATACTCACATATCTAACGCATACTAGACCTTATGAGCCTGCCGTTCCCTATTGATAGAACAACTTTCTAAGCTTGGGGTGAGGACAACAGATCCTCCCAGCCAAGCATCCATGTTCGAGGGTCAATTGATCAGCGAATTTTTCTTGGTAATGACCAGCCATCAAAACAATATCCAATATTACTTGTCGGACCAAATGGATATTCACACTATCCCAATCCTACCTTCCTTTTTACGACAGTACAAAGTAGTACACTTCATTACAGGTAATATCAATGTCAAAGCTCATTACTGAGACGGAGATAACCGAAGCTATATATAACCTTGAATAGGAGAAATTTATCAACGATATCATATATTAATAACAAACCGCCAGGGTCCCATGTCTTCCTCGGCCAAATTTACTTCTTGCTAGCTTGCTATGTCCAGGCGCATGCGCACCAAATGTATGTCCTAAACCAGGACGTATAATGCACACATCTAAGGAGCAGCCAGGGTTAGAGCCAAATATACTAGGATGTTATATATCACAAAGTGGAGGCGTAGAGCTTACCATAGACAGGCCCAAGATCATTGAGAACCAGAAGAAAGCATTCTAGGAAGAAAGTCAGTGAGAACCGCAAAATATCAAGACAAATGAATATCATCTTACATTGAGGATTGTCCGGCCACGGAAAAAACGAGACTTTTGAATCGCAACAATAGGTAGCTGGAGCATCATAGCCAGGAAACCGTATCCCCGAAGCTTCTTGGTGATG